AATTAATTCCAAAAGTGCATTGATAAATTTAATCCTAGTCAAAATAATGAATTATTCATATTATAACTGTCTGTTATTTTGATCTCTAGACAATTAGGTGCCTCTAACCCAAATATGAATTGGTAATTTTTATCTTACTACTGTGAGTGGAAATCATAGAAATATGCAAAATATAAATAATGTAAATAGTTACTTAGATTGACGAAGTCTAAAAACAGTGGAGATTTCCTAATATTTTTCAGTACTAATTTTATAGGTAGGTATTTTGTTGACATTAAATTTATATGTATGTAAGAAAAATAAGAACATCTTGTTTTTTATTTTAATACAATATTTGACTATTTACACTTTCCAGAGAACGGTATAGAAAACCAATGCTGTTGATACAGCTATTGAATAGACAGAGTGACAATAAAACCAGGGCCACGTTAATATCTCCTTTTTTATGATTTGGATCAAATTTGGTACAAACATACTTACTAGGCATAATTTCAAATGGACACTTATATACTTTAAAAAAATGACAGATTTCCGGTCTTACTGGAAATGCCACTAAATTTGATTATTTAAAGTGATCTACATACTGTTTACTAATCCGATTGTTCAAAATTTTATTATTCAACTATTAAATAGAGGTATTCCAACGACCTGTCCAAATGGCTACCAGTAGGGACTGACAGTTTAGATGTGGCAACCCTGTTGTCATGTTGTCATTAACAGGGTCAATGATACATATATATGCCGCGTTTGAGAATCCACATCGGATGCCATTTTTACATCTCGAGCGTTTTTTATCCACATCTGACACATCTGTCTCATTACATTTACGTATACTGAATCACGTGATCAAAGATTTACTACATCTCAGATGCATCCGATGTGGATTCTCAAACGCAGCAAATGTTAAATAAATTGCTCAAAGCTGGTCGTTTGCGAGCGGCCATATTGCCTGGCAAATATTTATTAATTTGAATCGGTTTAGCAAAAATGTGTTTTAAAACCGATTTTTCAGCCTCTGGATATTTAAAAAAACAATTGCTTACATTTTTAATTCAAAGCATAAGCTTATGTTTATTTTTAAAACCGTGGATAATCAATCTATATAACTGTCTATGTCGTTGACCCTGTCAAACCATTAGGCTTACAGGGTTGCCGTAATGTTGCCATATCATAACCTGTCAAAACCTACTGCTAGCCATTTTGTTTGGAATGCCTAATAGGTACTCTTTTAATTCCCAACCCATGAGTATTGTAGTTGGAGTACATTAATTTTCATTTGACGTTTTTTGATATTTTTATGATATTAATCCATTTCATTAATCCATTTCAGCCTTAGTCTTCGTGTTGGATGTTGTGTCTATTATTTGTTTAATGTAATTCCCCTCTCCTCCTTTTTATAAATAAATAAATTTTTAAATATTGAGGCACAGTGAGCCTCTTACTGTTTTTGTTTACAATTTTAATATGTGTTTGAAAATATTCATGAAAATATCACATATATAAGTTTTAGTGAAAAGGTAGTCAATCTTAGACTATATGAAAGAGAGGGACGCGTAAATCTAAACTCCAATATGCGACCGTTTGGCACCAGATGTTAAACGCAGACATAAAATACATATTTCTCTGTCTAAAGTTCAGACAATAGCGTAACCAGAAATTAATTAAATGAACAATGTCCGTTTTTAATTAGCCTTATTGGATACTTCAGGGAAAATCTAAAACATAAATTAGTAATGAAAATATGTATGTAAATTCTGTGAAAATATGTAAACCCAATTTTATGAACTTAATTAATATTACCATATCATTGATTGTAAGGCCACTGTCACTTAACTTTACTAAATTGTTGCAGTAATATATTCAGTATTTTCAATATTGTGATGAATGAAAATAATAACTTTACCCTGATTATATTACTATGATTTATTTGATATATTTTAAACAGTAAAAAATATTTCTAGTTCTACAGTCGTGTAATTTACTGTTCTAATATATTATTATCGCACCTGTAAATTGTAATTTTTTTATCCTTTTTCCTTCGACGTTTACCGCCATAAGAACATACACTACCATTGTAATCATTTAATTAATAACGCAGCCTTTGATTAATTGTTCATAAAAAATACAAAACACACAAATCCCATCACGGTCTATCAATGGGGGGAAGGGGACATGATGCTAATACGAAGCATTTTTTATTTATTTTTTTTATATAAAAGTAGGGGGGACCATATTTTTTGACGACCTTCTTTTGCTCCTTAAAAAAGAAACGCAAGTGATGTGGAAACTACTAAAAGACCTTTTCTTGTTTCCCAAATCTTAGTGTGGTCACTACAAAGGCTCACGGATTCTAATAATTCGAATCTCTGGGAGGTGTATTTACCCCTGGAAACGCCCTCACGGCGTGTTGGACCATAAATAAAATGGACTGTAAAAAATATAGTTTCGAGAGGGGGCATGCCCCCAGAGCCGCCCTTGACTTATATGCATGTCTACCAGGGAACCGCCGCAGGTCACAAAGTTCAACAAAAGTACAGGTTAGTACAACTCGCAGGCCAGTGACGTATCTGATGGGCCCGCAGGACCCGTGGTGCGTGAGTGCTTTAGGCTATTTGCATGCCCCCGAATTAAGCAAAGTATCCTTCCAAAATATATATTTTTTCACTTGTCAGTAAAAAAATTTTGCAGTTTTTGCAACCACATGGATGCATTGGAAATGATAATAATTTAACATAAAATCTTAAAATATAATTTAACGTAAAGTCATTTAATTTTTACTTCAACGAGCCATATTTTATGTAATGTTCTTTAATACATTTTTTATGACATTTTTTTTACTTATTTTTTAATCTGCAGGGGAGGGGAGCAAGAAAAATTTTGCGAGTGGGCCCCTAAGAAATTCGGCACGCCCCTGTCGCAGGCGTTATACCAATGAGTACGATATTACTGAGGCCCTTCCTATAGGGCCTCAGTATTGCATTCGTGCAGACGAAAAAATTTTCTGACCCCCATTTTTTAAAACTTTTTTTCATGTTTCTGATCATTCTGAGTCTGAAAATCCAAAAAAAAAAATTCGTCTGGTCGTCTGTATGTATATATGCCGGCACGATAAATCTAGAACGAAAGTTCTGATTGACTTGTGGTTTTGATTTTCTTAAATAATTACTTCTAACTTAGTTCCCTATTGATTTTCAGAATTTTTGGTTCATCCTAACTACTTTAATAACAATTTTCTTAAAATCCGCCTATGCATTCCTTATATGACAATTTTAGGAATTTCAATTGTTTCTAACGTCAAAATTCCTAACTTTCTTTACATTCCATAAATTGCACACATTCTCTAACGACCTGTCAAACAACAGCTGTTGATAGTAAAGGTGAAATTTCTAAGGCGGGTTGCGACCTTCATACTTGCAATCATATAGCCATTTTGGAGGCTATTGTCATTCGAGCCAAGCCTGCCAATATATGAAAAATATATAAACAGTTTCTTAAAAATGACTTTTTTATGGTGGTGCTATTAAGCGTACTACTATTTCGCCCCTAGCCACAAAAACACCTTCATCAAATTTACTGGTTCTCTGTCGCAACCCCATAGAATAATTAACCGGCCATTTTACTTGGCAAAAATTAAAATAATGCTTGGCTGTGCCTGTCAAGTATCAAGATGTCAACTGTGATATGTGAATGGCTCTTAAATGTCAAATTATTTAAAAATGTATACTTCTTTTGATATTTATTGCAAATAATAAATATCTCAATTCAGGCTTTCCATAAATAAAGGTACAGCAAGACAGATAATATAATGTTCTTATACAAAGCACTTTTTTATTATATAAAAGAGAGGTAGGATATAATACCCATTTCAAATTTGGATCAATTATGATACCGATGTATTTTGTTGTTTTTCATTTTAATTATAAAGTTGTCATTTATTTGTATGTTGAAAGAAGGCCTTTGTAAATTACATTGCTCTCTATGGATCTACTTTAACGCAAAAATAGTTTTGTGGCTATAAGTTGCTATAACTAATCGTCGCAAAACTATTAATAATTTAAACATAGTAAGTAGTATTAATATAACATCAAATAATTTTTTAAAATAAAACAATCTATAATAAATGCGGATAAAACGAGGGGTAAAATAACAATAAATTAAGGGAAATACTTAAAAAGGGCAGGTTTAAAGAGTAATCTCACAAGAAAGTATATTCGTCCTGTTTATTTATCAAGTATTGTTTGAAGTTACTTTTGAATACATTTATTGTTTTTTTTTTTAATTTCTGTAGGCAGTCTATTAAATTTTTTAAACCTTTAATAAAAATTGTATTTGGGAACTTTTAGTGATGGCTTGCCGTACATGAAAGTCAGATTGGTTTCTTGTATTATAGTTGTGATATTGTGAATTATATTGAATTTTTTCTAATAGATCTGATGCGATGGTACTATGTCATTTTTATTTTATAAATAAATATCAGTCATGTACTGAACATAATTCTGAACTGAAAGCCAATTGCTCGAACAAGTTTTTAAACCCTAATCAAAAGGCGATATAGAATGGTTTTAAAAATCAAGGCTTGTGAAAATCATCACATGGTTTAACCTAAGTAATGCCAATGCTTCACAAACCAAAAAATTCAACGTGCTAATACTACTATCGGCTTTCGGTATTTCTCGTTTTTGTTACGCTACGAGTTTATCCTTGTGAGCCTCAGTCTCGATAAGGTGGGAACCACCATTTTAGCGTCTCTCGAATTTAGTTTGGGTATGTCGTATTTCAGTGAAGATATAAAACTGAGTACTACTTTTTGCTGGTAAACGTGTAACGTACCCACCAGCGCCGGTTATTAAAGAGAAAAACAGTAAAAAATTACATCTGTTGAATTTTGAAAAAATCTTGACCCTATTATTGTGGAAGTTTTTTGTAATTAGGTATTCCCGATTTTTGTAAACTGTAACAATGTTACTTTTATGAGTTAAATTATGAAAATGTTGTTTCAGATTCATAATGACCTGCAAAAGTCATATTTTTTTCACTACAATGTTTATAATCATTCACATTTCCAGTGAATTTGGAAACTACAATCCAAAGAGACGTAAGTATTATTTTCTTTAATTTCTAGTTAACCGTTTTTTTCAAAGGCGTAGCCACGGGGAGGTGTGGGGGTTAACCCCCCCCAGTTGATCAAAAAGTATAATTTAAACACATTTACGGAAATTAAAATAAATGCAATCTATAAACAATACCTGCTAAAATTTACTGTGAAAGGAAGTGACAATGCCACATAACCGGAAAAGCCAAAGCTTAACTTACATTTTCTGGCTACGCTACTGGTTTTACTACAATTAATATTGACTTAATTTTTATTACTACTTTTGTTCATAGTAAGATATTGATGAAAAACGTTACTTTTTATATACCCGCCTATATTAGGAACGGTTTAAGATACAAAAAAAATATCCAAACCACTCATTTTTATTTCAATTTTAATCATGGGGATTAACCAATATACTACACCAAATTGAAAATTACCTATTTAATTATAATTCTGTTTTTTTAGACCCTAGAGTATTTGGCAACGGCATAACCATGAGATTACTTGATACCCGGAATAAAAAATTGCAGCAGAACATAGTGTTATTTCATAATTATTTTAGATCTAAAGTAAAACCGCAAGCTGCCAATATGTTAAGAATGGTGAGTACAAAAATGTGTGATGTTGAAGATGCAAGACTCTGGTGTTTGATGTTTAGAAAAAATGTATAATTGACCGTTTTAGGCTTAATATTTTTGAATTAGTGGTACATTTGTGTACCGCCAATATTTTTAGAAGTAGGGAAGAGTGTTCCACAGTGAAACACTTTTTTAATTTTTTTTTTCTCGAATCTACATACAAAACCATAATCCCACTTTTATCAAAAATTTTAATTAACACTACATTTACCTTTATAATAAAATATCAAAATTAGTTGCAAATGTGATTTGTTTTTTGGAGAACAATTTAAAAAAAAAACTGTATTTTGTTTCACTGTGGAACACTAGTGGGGTACAATGAAACGGCAGAAACAAACAATTAAAAATAGGTATTTATTTTTTACGAACACAAAAATGAAAACACTGCAAATTAAAGTAAACTATTAACTCAATAGTAACTAGGTGTAACTGTTAAATTGATGTTTCATTAACGAACTTCAATATTGGTGAAGCTAAGTTCAAATGAAATCAGATCCACTTGTCTTTTTGTTTTGCCATGCTGATTAGGCTTTGGTAAGATCATTTTGATATCGCTTTCAGGAACTACTGCAATGTCAGGAACTTTCTGTAAAACAAATTTGTCGTCTATTTTTGAGTGCTTTCTATAAAATTGTACTTCAGAGTCTTGTTTTTTATCGCAGGTGCCTTTCAAGACTATCGCAACGTAATAAACAGTTTTTTACTTTTTCTGTTATTTTAAATTGCACCAATACAAAATCTCCAGCTTCTGGGGGCGCACAAGATCTTCAAATCCATTAAGATTTACTTCAGGGATCCACTTCTCCGTTTCTGAGCCAAGAGACATTACGTCTTCATTTTCTTCTTCGTCCTCTGAGGATTCGACAAGTTTGCGCTTGGCATTTTCGACAGCTGTAACTGTAGGCTTTTTTTATTTCTTTCCTTTTCTTCTATCATCAATTTTTCCGTAGTATCGGTCGCAATCATGCTTTTTCCCTTCCTTCTAGATATTTTACTCTTTCGTGCGGAAGCCTTAGGATAACGTCTGAATTGTTCAGGAGAAAGAAATCCTACTTCTTTTTCTGTAGTAAGCACTGGATTTTCTGTAGCTTTATTACTTTCATTTACTTCACACTTATTTCCTTGAGAAGTGGAGGCTTCGTTTTCATCTGCAGTGGGTCGATCTGTGACAGCTGAACTCAAAAAATCATTCTCATTAAACACATTTTTATCTAGCGGAAAGATTCCACTTCTTTTGAAAACTGATTTTATATTACTTGGCGTCATTGAACGATCAAAAGCGGTTCCAACGCACTCTGCAATTTGGTAGATGGTCATGGGTGTTCCTGGATGATGCAAAAGTCAACTATCTATCGCGGCATTATAATGAGCTTTAAAGGATGAAAAAACACTTACACCTAGCGGTTGTAGCCTATGACTACAATGGGGCGGTAAAGTTAGAATTGTAATTCCGTTTTCTCGAGCTTTGTCCAAAGTAGCTAGTGAAATATGACTTTCATGGTTGTCCATGATTAAGAGCGTCGGTTTTTCTTTACTGGATAAATATTCATAAATTATTATAATTATTTATTACAGAAACGTTAATAATAAAGTGCAATTCTCGAAAAGGAAAAATCAAATTTAACACGAAGGCGAATCGAAACTATTTAGCTGACTTACTTTTTGTTCACTATATATTTTTATTAAAAATATATTTTTGTCGAGATAACTGCGTTACTCAAAAATCAAAAACTCTATGCTATTCTGGTAGAAAAACGTACCACATTTTGACAGTTAGTGGGACTATTGATTATCAGAAGTGAAATCATGGTAAATATTTGTATCTCAGACCTCGAATGGATATTAAGATCGAAGTTTATGATCCCACTTTATTCCCCCGTAACTCCTTATGGGTACAACTTGGTATAGAAGTTACATTAAATCGTCATATTTTGGGATGTCAAACACGCACCTGTTCTGTGTCGGTACTTATGCGAAACACCCTGTATTTTCCTTGTTTCTATTGTGAATGCGCAAAGCAGTACGTGTAAGTTTTTAAAAGAAACTGTTTTTCCTAAGCACATACTTTGAATTTCTTTTACTATACGGATAATAGTCGCACTGCGCAGCTTTCTGAGTGCCTTTTAAAAGGAGATAGAAAACTCCGCCATTTTGAACCCTCATTACGTGTTGCCTACATCTTGGCGCTATATTTTTAATAGGTACGTTTTAATCATCCGCTTCTGCTTCGGAATTGTCGGTTTTCTTGTTTTAATCTGACAGGTTAAAACGACTAAACCGACAATTCCGGAAGCAGAAGCGGATGATTAAAACGCACCTGATATTTTGCTTGCTGCTGTCAGTGTCAGTGAATATTATTTTTGAAGTCACAGTTTATTGCTAAAGAATCAGTTAGCTCACTCGGACCAGCTGAAAGTTCCAAAATAACATCCACTCCAGGGATACAAATTCAGGATACGCAGAAGACTGCTGTTTTATTATAGGCGGTTGTCATATATTGTATTATCCGAGTTGCACAGTGTATAAACTGAAACATTGAGATCCAAAGTGCCGACGCAGAGTGAGCGATCTGATTCTTTAGCTGTAAACTGTGTCACAGGTTTCAAAATGGCCGCGCGCTATGTTGGGCGTGTCGGACCTCTCTCTTGCCTCGTATAGTAATCAAAGTATGTGTTCCTAAGATAGTAGGCAGAAGCATTGATTCAGAATATGTTTTCTGGATAAATGTAATAGTTTTATTGTTACAAATTTAAATCAAAATTTATATTTATTTATAGAAATGGCACAAAGGTGCTGCAAGAGCTGCTCAAAGATGGGCATCCGCATGTACATTTTTGACTCATGATAATGTTACTGGAAGACATATTGAAAATTATGGAGCGTGCGGTCAAAATATATTCGTATCTACACATAAAGTTTTATGGTGAGATAACCTTCACAAAATTATAATAATAATAATTATAATTAGGGTTAAAATATGCTTGAAGAAATTTAAAAAAAAATAGTACAAATAAAATATTCAATAGATTCTGCTGTAGTTTCTTATTTAAACGATTAGGTAGAAGAACTGGTCCAAATATGGACTCACTTTTTATTTTCTGAACTTTCTGACGTATTTTGACTAAATTCAGAATGTTATGTAGTAAAAAATCTTACAATAACATTAAATAAGCGATTTTTAAAAACAGTTTTGCCTTATTCCAATATAAATACATTTTGGTAAACCGGATCAAATTTTAAGCAAAAATTAAACATTTGAACAACAAAAAAAAAACATTAAAAATTTTTGAAGTAAAGAGTGAAAACAAAAATCGAAAAATCGCAACATCGAAAAATTAAAAAATTGAAAAATCTAAAAAAGGCAATGAATAGTAACATTTCATATTTGATAATTTGATATTATGTTTAACAACAAAAAATAGAACAAAAAAATAGAAGCTGTAAATTGGGTTTTATTTTTTAAATAACACCGTTATAGAAAACTGATCAGAAATGTTGAGGGTAAAATTTTGACGTAGGTACTCTTTTAAGGATAACGGGTAAAAACGTTTTTTTTTTAAATTATCCGCGGATAATGTCAAAAATCAGATCGGCAACACTGCAGATGTCCCTTATTTTTATTACTATTGAAAAAAACGTCGTAGGGCAATCAAATTCAACAATTTTCTGAAATACTTCACTGGAGGCACCTACAAAAGAATGATGGTGAATCATTTTATAACCAGGCACAATTTTATATATAATCAAGGCAAAATTAGAAAAAATCTTGTATGTAACACGTTTCATAAATAGCTATTTCGAAATCGGCAAAAATACACACAAACATAATCATTTTTACCTAAGAGCTACTAGATAGTAGATGCTAAAAATTTTAATTTCAGAAAGCACTGTCTACTATGTGCTACTTAGAAATAGATAGTGCTTGGCTTACTTAAATTATTTGTGTGGCCCATATTAAATGCGTGGCCCATGTTCGGACCAGTTCCTCTACTGTTTTGGCGATTTTTCACCATGTTTATTGATATTTTAATAATTTATTTTGATTTAAATAATTGCATTTTAGAAGGTTTTCATAACGAATAAAGCGGTAATAACTACAGTTTGAAATCATTATCGTAAATTCATTCAAAAATTAATATCATTTTATTGTTTTTCTATTTCTATTACTAGATTATAAATCTGTAGTTTTTTAATTTTACAGGTTTTTTGCTATACAAACATGGTGGCTCGAGAAAGACTTATTTACTTTTGGTAGACCTAATCCAAATCTAATGACTATAGGTCACTATACACAAATGGTATGGGCTTCTACACATGAAGTAGGTTGCGGTGTGGCAGAATGTACTAGTCATGGAAACTATAATCAATTCGGAAGAAAAGTATTTTACAACTACGTGTGTAATTACTGTCCAATGTAAGTAATTTTTGGATTGAACAATTATCTGCTAAATAATTTCCTAAATAAATAACATCCTGTATATTGTAGGTAACTTTTTTTAGGAATATAAGTGCAATATGTTTTTTCTACGGTTACTATCCAAAGTAGGCTTCTGCACATTCAAATCTAACTGGAAAGTTGACGTTTTCATGAATTGTCATAGTTTGAAATTATTGCCACATATAGGCGGAAAGTTACTTTTTGCACACGTCTATTTTCATTATAAAATTTCATTAGAAAGGTTATTATTATAAAGCTAATCTGTATTTTAAAAGAAAATGTAGACTAATCTGAATCTTTTAGTTACTCAAATGCATTTTCCTTAATATATAAATGGTTATTGAAATATTAAAAATAAATTACCCTATTTTTAACACTCCTGTTTAACATGTCTTGTTGGTGTAGAGCCTAGCGCGTTTGTCTTTTAACCTAAAGGTCAATCCTCACCGGTTAATTTTTTTTTATTTTAAATTGATTTTTTATTTGTAAATTTTTTTTTTTTTTTTTTTTTTTTTTTTTTTATTTGGTGTACGGCTTCAACATCTAAGGTCATTAGCCTAGTGTTCTATGTAGGTTATGGATTGTATTAGTAGTCTAATACTCCATAGTGCAGGAGTATTAGTACTCTAATACTCCTACACCCCTACAGACAGGCCTTGTTACTGTTTCCTTGCGCCACTTTAGGAACAGCACTGTTAATTAGAACCCAACAGTGAATGGTCGAGTGGGGAATCCTACCAAGGCATCAGAATTAATTTTAAATAATTAAATTAAATAAAAAAATCCCGGCCAACGGTTATTTGTAAAATTAAAACTGTTAAAACAGTGGATGAGACAACAATTTAGGATTAAGAGTATTCTAACCGATCTTGGAAGTTATTTTTAAGATGTACTTACTAACAAATATTTTTTATGCTAATCAAAAAAATAATCTTCAAGTAAGCAGGCAACACAATATACATATAACATACTTTTCGTTTGCTAGTCAAGTTAGCCGTAGTAAGATTTGAATTCGGCAAAATAAAACTATATACTTTTAATATTGTGTGATCGTAGAAAAAATTTGTGTGTAGCACTTTCCGCTCTTAATACACAAAAAACGCAAGCTAATTGACCTTTTATAATTAACCGCATGGGCGCTGGTTCAAAATGCATGGCTTCTTACGGGAATTATACATAATTTTGTCAAAATAATAAAAATAAACTTGTTTATAGCTAAATAAAGCACAGAGCATACTGTTGTATTTATTTCTAAATAAGTCTGGCATGTTTTAATTGATAAATTATTTAATTTTATCTATATAAAATACAAATTAGGTAGGTATGACCAAATTCTAAAAGGTTTGTTAAATTCTAAAACTTGATAATTTTGTGGCAAAATTTTTTTGAATTGAACCTATATATAGTTTTAAATGCAAAATTAAACACAGTTAATAGATTTTGTATTGTTGAAATACAAATATAAAGGGAGATTTGGGAATGTACATGGTTATTACCTCATCCTTTAATTTCAGCTTTCCCCTTTTTTATTTTGCTAACAGTACCATCAGTAAAAATAGTCTCATAATACTTGATAATATTTTCTAAGAAGTATAGAACAGCATCAACTCTAGAAAGTGCTTTATCGGCACTAGGAACGAGGTCCAAAAAAAATAACAGTAGCAACTCTTTATCTAACATTAACTCTATGAAAAATAAATTTTATTTTCTAGTAAGTTAAATTTAATGCATAATTGTTGTTGTTTGTGAGTCAGCATCTATATCTGTTAAAATTTTATATTATAGAAACTTGTAATAAAATAAACTACACTTCGTAAGATACATATTGTGACTAGTTTACAATAAATATTATATTTAGACATGAATACATTATTTTAGTTACATTAGAAGCTTTAAAAAGACTGAATTGATTTCTTCTTGTATTTTCTTTAGTTTTACATTTGAATTTTATCCTGTTTTATAATCTGGAAAGATGTTTTTTTGTCACTCATGTTACTTGTACTCGGGTACTTTTTTTCACATTATTTTGATTCTTTTTACCAATTTTTTAAACAATCACTTCATTTTACATTGACTTACATAGAAAATTGACACCGCTTTCATTCGATATGCCAACTACAGTCAATTTCGCGAACTTTATAAAAAGAAGGACGGAAATTTGAAATTTAACCATTGCCGATTCGCCTCTTTCTCTCTAGTCTTCATAGCGTATGCAAATGCACTATAAGGGAGCCCTAAACTTTAATTTAACACTACTGATTAGATATTTTCCTTTGCATCGAAAGTGTAGCACTGAGCTACGCCATTTCTGAAAATATCGTTCCATTTATACAAATTCTATGGATGTAAGGAAAGATGAGAATCCCAATGCTGATTAATGAGCAGTGGCGAGGCAATATGGCCGCTAACAAAGCGACACACTTTGCGCAATCTATCTAACTATATATCACTGATCATGTCAAAGTCAACAGGGTTACCATTGTAAGGGGTTTTCTCGCTTTAGAGAAAACGGTTCCTTACGAATGACGCTGGTTACGGTTGGTTCTCGAGCGCCAGATTTTTGGTTATGGTTTACTCCACAAACTCTCGAAATTGCGTCGAAAGTACTCGGGCAGCACAGATGGAGATGAAAAATTCCAGGGGTCAAAGGTCACTTAGACTCAGGTAATTAATAGCCACAAGTAATGGGCTTTAATCATTACTTGTGGTTGTAAAGAATTTCTCACTACTGAAAAGTAAGGGAGAAGTAAATTGGGGATTAGTAACCTCAGTAATAGTCAAGGTAACGTTGACACATATATTGGTTTAACTATTTACAGTTAAAATAAAAATAACATATTTCAACGCCCACCCTCGGTTATGAAATCCTGAACAAAAAAATAAAGCAAAAACAAAACGGGAACGAATGGCTGATATAGTTGGCAGGTATTCTCAATTAGACTGCTTAAACTGGATACGGTGAAAGGGTCGCGTATAAAAATTGTATTCGCAAATCTCAGACTAAGGTCAAAATTTAAATCTCGGATAGTAGGAATTTAAAAATTTTAAATTTACGGTAATTACTCTTAAATCGGAACAAATAAAAATCTAAATGTAAATCACGGATAATACGAATTAAAAAAAAATTAATTTACTGCAATTACTCTTAAATCGCAAGAAAAAAATGAAAATGTAAGTCGAGGATAATACGAATTTTAAAAAAAAATTAAATTTACGGTAATTACTTAAATCGCAAAGCAAATCAAAATTTTGATCAAGGATAGTATTAATTTTAAAAATTCCAAATTTACGGTAATTTTCTTATATCACAAAGAAAAATCAAAATTTAAATCAAGGATAGTATGAATTTTAAAAATTTAAACTGCGGCACTTCTGTAACTCGTGAGGACCACTTGAAATCTTTCTAAATGTTTGTTTTTGTTTAAACCCCTGAAGCTAACAAGCAAGCTACGCTGAATCAAACCCACACTACCTCTTATTGTTATTTTTTATTATTATAACCCCAGGTCGGACAGGGATATCTAGGAAGGAAAATAACACAGGGAACTTTAAGCCCTCACTGAGTTATTTGGGAATAGACAGGAAGGAAAACTAACACAGGGAACTTTAAGCCCTCACTGAGTTAATTGCGGATAGCTAGGAAGGAAAATAACACAGGGAACTTTAAACCCTCATTGAGTTATTTGGAAATAGCCAGGAAGAAAAAATAAAGGAACGGAGATTTTATATTCAAAACAGGAAATGATACCCTCCCCTTCGGTAGAACAAAATCCCGGACAGTCAAACTAAACAAATAAGAAAAAATGAACAATATTCAGTTCCCGTATTTCCCACGGTTAGGAATAACAAATCTATTTTTTAAAGTCTATCTAAATTTAAAAATAAAAACGAAAAGGAAATAAACACTGTGATTCCTATCTTTTCTCAATTTACTTATTTAGTAATTCTATTTACAAAGTCGATTTAGATCTGAAGCAGTCCTCACCGTTCGAAGTAATAAAAAAAATAAACACGGTCAATATCCAAACAAGAAAATATTCTTCGACTGTTAATTTAATTATTAAATTTTGGAATTTTCAAACAAAATTATTTACGTGTTAAAATGTAAATCTCAAAAGGTTTTTAAATCTACCTAATTTAATTCGGTTTTATTTTCTATCTAAACTCGATGCTATGGCAAAAAATAAAAAAGGGGTTTTCTGTATTAACTGCGGCAAACAAAACGGTTTTGGCTCGCGGTGCCGGTATTACACTTATCTACCGACTCTTTCTATCGCTCGGAATGGAATTCAAAATTTCTCTCTCGCTGTTCTTGTTCTCGGGTCGAAAAATATTTACCAATGCCCCGCGCATGATCAACTTAAGAGGGAGAAGGTATTCTAGAAGGGGTAGGGTGCTGGGTGTTGACGTTCTTTCTCGTTTGAAATATTAAAAATGATAAATTCCCAAATCTACAATTTTCTATAATATAAATTCAAAATCCTGGTTTAAAATGACTTTTGAAAACCATTGCTATATTGTGAAAGTACTAGATTTTCGGATTATTATATATTTCAAAGTAATAGATACAGGGTGAAGCCAAAAAGTTAATTTATAAATTAAAATAGTAACGAATAATTAATTTTATTAAATTGATATGCCGGATTCTAATGAAAGTTAGATTTAAAATCATTATTAAGAATACTTGGATAAAAAAAATAGTAATGAAAAATGACTTCATTACACCATATCACATAACTCCATGCCATATCATAACCAACAGGGAGCATTTTGACAGGTCGCTGGAATGCTCAATAGATAAAATGTCACAGATAGCATTTTGACATTTAACAGGTCGCTGGAATGCCTAGTAGTTAAAATGTCACCATATCACCAACAGTTTTTATATTCAAATTCCAAACTGAATATAAACGTTTACGAAAAAAATTGTATGGTTTATTACTCTATGGAGTCTAATATTGTTATTTAGCAGAAATTAATCAAAATGATGTAATTCATGGGTTTTTATGATCGAGATAGGGTTAGAAGTTTAGGGTAAAAAAATAGAGAGTTGAAGTGTTTCCAGTACGTTAACGTAAACGTGAACGTCAATGCACAAAAATAATGTTTACGGTATAGTCCAAAATATGAGTTGAAGTTGTTAAACGCATCGTGACATTTACGTGTCATGACAGATAATGACAATTAATATTAGGATTTCTTCTTTCCCAATTAAAAAGAGATTATTTTATTTGTGTTACGGGCATACGCCAGAGCCCGCAAGCTTACGTATGTACGTAGACGTGAACGTGAAGGATATTTGAATGCGCATACGTAGATGTCAATTGTCACGTATACGTTTAAGTTCATAGCATCACTTCAACTCTCTAATAGCTATTTGTATATTGAGCGGAAAGTGCTACTTTGCCGCTTAAGATAAAAAGTTGCCGCGCGACGCGCGGCGAAGTGCGGAATTTTATCGTAAGCAGCAAATAACTTTTCGCTCGAATTACACATAAGATTTTTTCTACGATCACACGATATTAGAAGTATAGTTTTATTTTGCCGAATTCAAAACTTACTACGTTAATTTGACAGACACGGCTAACTTGACTAGCAAACGAAAAGTATGTTATGTGTATATTGTGTTGCCTGCTTACTTGAAGATTAATTTTATAATTAGCATAAAAAATATTTGTTGTAAATACATCTAAAAAATAACTTCCAAGATCGGTTAGAATACTCTTAATCGCAAATTGATGGCTCATCCACTGTTTTAAAAGTTTTAATTTTACAAATAAAAAAATCAATTTAAAATTAAAAAAAAAATTAACCGGTAAGAATTGAACTCACGACCTTTAGGTTGAAAGGCAAACGCGCTAGGCTCTACACCAACAAGACATGTTAAATATGAGTGTTAAAAACAGGATAATTTATTTTTAGTATTTTAATTCATTTAAATATTAAGAAAAATGAGTTTGAGTATTAAATGTTCAAGTAAAAGATTCAGATTAGTCTATATTTTCTTTTAAAATGCCGATTAGCTTTATAATAACAACCTTTTTAATGAAATTTTCTAATGAAAATAGGCGTGTGCAAAAAGTAAGTTTCCGCCTATATGCGGCGATAATGTCAAACTATGACAATTCATGGAAAACGTCAACTTTCCAGTTAGATTTGAAAGTGCAAAACTTCCAGTTAGACTTGAAAGTGCAAAAGCCTACTTTGGATAGTGATCGTAGAAAAATAATTTTAAGCGTTTCGAGGGCGAAATATTTATTCAGAAATGTTTCTGAGGAATCTAAAATGGTCAAAAAAAATTATATATATTTATGTATATTTAAGTATACAACAGCACTTAAACTTTTGAATTGACTTCCTTTTAGAGGTAATCGGCCTGGTCGACTCGCAAGGCCCTACAAAAGAGGCAAACCTTGCAACCTATGCAAAAGACACTGTGGGAGAAACAAACTTTGTCTGAACCCTTGTAAAGCAGCCGATCAATTTACAAATTGCAGGGACCTTTTCAGAAGATTTCCAGCGTGGCTATGTAACAGTCATCAAACGGAAGAAGGAAGAAATAGAAGAAAAAATTGTTTGGCAACTTGTACTTGTAAACACAAAATACATGATTAATTTCTCTAGTTTTAGTAGAGATGAAATAATAAAGATTTTAAAAAATTGAATTGTTTTCTAAAAATCGTATCGTTTTATAAATAACATTTGTCAAAAGTAAAGTTACTGAATTAACTACTGTAATTTTGGTATTAATAAAAAAAAGGATCTTATGAACTAATAAAACAGTTGCTAGTTTATAAATTAAAAAAGGACAACCTCCAATGATTATAAAACTAGCTTACCTGCAAAAGAAAAGAACAATTTAAAATATGTTTAAAAAAAGCTGTATTAAAAAGTATCAATAACATATAAAATTAATTTTAATAAAAAATATCACAATAAAGTATCAGTTTTGAAAATACATTCTACTTGCAGTACTCTATTTTGATCTTAGGATAAGAAAATATTTTTAATGCGCTTGAGCATTACGTTTTACGTTATGAAATTAATTTTGGTCTCCACACTTTAATTGACCTGTCTTGGCCACCAGTAACTATAAAATCTTTCAACGACGAAATGTCTATGGTTTTGATAGCACCTAAAACAAAAAAATAAAAAACGTCAATCATCTGCAAATCTAAAATCTTTTGAAATATTAAAGTTTTCTTATGGCAAATGGGTTTCGGTCGAATTTGCTGAATATTATTTATTGTTTCGGCCTTTACTTGATGAAAATCCATTTAATTTTGAAAGAGTAAAACCAAATTTGGTAGATTTTCACACTTTTATTTTAAAAATAATTTTTTTTTTTTTTTTTTTAAAATACTAACATGACATATGTTTCGAAGTACAACTTCTTTTTCAAATGTGACTATTTACAATTCGGTATCCAATATATATATACGAAATAATTTAACAAAACAAAGTACTTAAGAAAACATCAATAACAGTACAAAATAAACTAACTATTTAAAGTAAATAAGGGTACTTAGGTAATTATAATATCCATCAGATAACAATAAGATAGCCCATTACCGGGATTATCTCACAGAAAACTGGGAAAGAGATTTAATAAGGGTGAATTATTAATATCTAATTGATCGTTTAGTAAGTTATCTGAATTTTTAAATCTATTTATTTCAAGTGTTTCTAAATGGTTAAATAAGAGCCTTAAATTAAACCATTTAGAAACACTTGAAATAAATAGATTTAAAAATTCAGATAACTTACTAAACGATCAATTAGATATTAATAATTCACCCTTATTAAATCTCTTTCCCAGTTTTCTGTGAGATAATCCCGGTAATGGGCTATCTTATTGTTATCTGATGGATATTATAATTACCTAAGTACCCTTATTTACTTTAAATAGTTAGTTTATTTTGTAATGTTATTGATGTTTTCTTAAGTACTTTGTTTTGTTAAATTATTTCGTATATATATATTGGATACCGAATTGTAAATAGTCACATTTGAAAAAGAAGTTGTACTTCGAAACATATGTCATGTTAGTATTTTAAAAAAAAAAAAAAAAATTATTTTTAAAATAAAAGTGTGAAAATCTACCAAATTTGGTTTTACTCTTTCAAAATTTGCTGAATATGTTGCAGTTTTTGACATCCTAAAGAAGTCCATGATAAAATAATTATAATAAATTGTATCTATCATTTATTAAAAGTAATTATCTGACAACTCTAAAATAAATATAACAGGGTGATCACTCACATCAGCCCACAGGCACAAAGTTCTTTTAGTTGTTAAGATACGCTTGTATTTTACAGTTTTGAACAGATGTCAAGATATAACTGGTATATAAAATAAAAAACATTGGCCCTAATATTGAGCCCTGTGGCACACCAGACTTTATGTTTTGTAATGAAGAAAATTCATTATATAAAAGAACTTTTTGACTACGGTTAGACAAATATGATAGAATGAGATTAATAGAATTTTCAGAAAAACCAAAATATTTTAGTTTGAAACAAAGTAAATTGTGATTGATAGTATCAAACGCTTTGGAATTGTTGCGTTTTCATGTTTAATTTATTTATTTATTAGCTTTTGATATCAATATCTACTTTACCATTGACAATACTTTCTTCCCAAACCAAACGGCTTCGATGGTAATAAAAACACACATTTTGAGTTGTGTGTGCACAAGCAATAAAATCAGTCGAGCTCAGAATATAAAAATCATCAGTATAATATTAAAACTGAAACCGAATAAGTCAGAATATTGTGTGTGAACCGCATTATCAAGATCGCATTTTCGTATCAAGCCGCTTCAGATGTTAAGTGTGGGCCCAAGAAAGTATTCCGATCCAGAGCCACTAGTAAAGGTAGGGTGAAAAGATTGTCATTGTTTAATTAAAAGAAATAAATTATTACTCAGCTCAAATTCACAGTCCATTATAAACGCAACAGGAATAGTCCAATGCAACAAGTCCTATAATTTGTGTTGTCTATATTTCTTACAATATCATCAGAAACTTGACAAACTGTAACAGATGTATTGTAGCTACTTCGGAAACCAGTCTGGCAATCCGGAAGTATTTTGTTTTCATCATTATAAGGTTGTGCAACTTTATAAAGTGGTCTAATTGTTGAAATTTTCCAAATGTTGGAAAGCAATTTCTTTGAATACAACAGTTTGGAAGGTGCGTAATGTAATTATCAATACGCGGACTATAGTACTTCAGCATGGAGATTGGCACAGCTTCAGAACCCATGGCATTAGATTTGATATTATGGAGTAGTTTATTAAATTCTATGACAGTTATAAAATCAAATGCTAGTTTTTTTTCATGCAAATTAGGTAATGTTGAATTATTATAATATTCTAATAGGTCATCATCTACTTCATTATCAACAAAAATAGAACAAAAGTACTTATTTATTTCTTCGGGTTTCTGCAGCGAAATAGGTAGGGTTATTTCTTGCTTTCTGGACTGAAGTTCATTTAGACCCTTCTATAAATCCTTGGATTTATGGGAATTAAACAGGTTGTCAAAAAAGGCTCTTTTTCACAACTTATAGAGGAGAGAGTGAAATTTCTTAATTCCTTATACCTATCCCAATCAGCGTGTGTAATTTTGTGTGCTTAATTTTGCTTAAAGCAAAATTTCTTTTCTTAATTAGTAATTTGATTGGATAAGTTAACCAGGGTGCATAAGGTTTAGTAATGCGTATAGTTTTTAATGGCGCATGTTTATCAAACAAGAGAATAACTTGTTCTGTGAGAAATTGCACTTTATCATCAATATTTTCAATATTGAAAATTTCATGAAATGGAGTATTTATTAAATCATTGTAAACACTGTCATAGTTAAAACTTTTAAAATCTCTAAACGTATAAAATTTAGATTTCTTTCTTATTTTTGAAAATTCCAAACTATAGAAAGAGTACCCATGGTCAGAAAAATTTGTTTGGTTTACACCTGGTTTTTTTACTAAACTACAATCACTTATATAAATAGGATCAAGCAGAGTCATCGAGGTGGATGTTATTCTAGTAGGTTAATTATAGATTGATATTAGTCGTACGCATCAAAACAAGATGGATTATCATTTGTCAACAAATCAATATTTATGTCACCTAAGCAAATAATGTGATCAACTGTAGGCAGAATTTTTGACACAGTAGAGTCAATGCTATCAATAAAAATCATGATTCCTATACTTTCCTTATCTGTATGCAGATAGGAAAGTAAAAAGGGACACACTATCTTTAGGTGGTTGATATATAATTCCAATGCAAACGCGAAAACCGTTTATCGTTAATTTAATCCACATTTGCTCACAGTTTAAGTCAGAGGAATTAAATTCAACTAATTGTAAACGAGTAATATAATTATTTAAATAAAGACCAACACCATCACCTCTAGATTGTCTATCAAGTCGATAAAAATTGAATCCTGGAATTGAAATGGTGTTTGTATTCATCAAAATTTGCAACAAGAGAACGAACGTTCAAATTATAAAGTCTAAACATTTTAATGATAAAAATAAATAAAATTAGAATAGATAAATTTTTTTTATAAAAAGTACTATTCTAGATAGCCTATCTTGCTCTTTAAAATGTCTACATGAAATTTAAAAGTTGGGCACTCGCGGTCACTATTTTAGGGTCCAGTGGCGTGGTTTGTGTTGTAATTATGGGTAGATAAATGACAATTCATGCAGAATTTTTCCTATTTGGGACATTCTTCTTCTTTGTGTTCTTCAGAGCAACTGGGACAAACCATTCTATTCATTAACGATTTTAATTCTTGGCCGTTTTAATTTACTCAATTCCGTATCATATTCATCCTTAAGTGTGTTATTGGAAGCCTCTTTTAATATATTCAACTCGCTTTTATTTTGACACTTGATTATATTACCAGATTTGCTTTGTTTTATGTTAATTACTCCGATTTTGAGTTTGGCCGGATTAATCTTTTTTTTATCTAATTATTAATTACTAACTATTAATTTAGGAAGGTTAGATTTGACTGCCATACCAGTTGTGGTTACCTTGTCTTGTTTCAAAACATTAGAGTAACTAACATTATGCTTTTCCAAATTTTCAATTTTTTCTTTCAAAAGTTTTATAATTAGTTCCTGGTCTTCAATGATTTTATTTTTATCAGCTATTTGTGGATTTTAAAATGTCTATAAACTCAAAATTCCTACATTTCTTGCACTTAAACTTTAGTGTTCGTTTTTGTAGAGGTATGGACCTTAATTCTGACGTACATAACTCACTACATTCTATACATACTAGATTTTTGCAGCCATCACATGGGAAACAAGGAATTTTTAAATTATAACTTAGCATAGGAAACACTCCATATTATATTGTTTTGGTCATTTTAAGTTAAAAATCCTCACGACGCACAGTGGCGCGTGCCACCCAAATTACTCTATACCTTATGGGGTTGGAGTGTCTGAGGTCACAAATTTTTCATTACCCTTGAAATGGTCATAATCATTCAAACATTTTCAAATAACAGGAAGCGTGTTTTACTCAACATTGAAAATTTTTGGATTATTATGACCATTTTAAGGGTAATGGAACATTTTTAACCGTATTCCAAATACAGTCTTTTAGGGTCTTTGAAGATGAACATTTTCCCATAAAAAAGTTTGGTAAAATTTCAATCTCACGTACCGTAGGACCACTTTCGAGCGGGAAATCTACGTTTTTGGATAAAATCCAATTTTTGAATCAGAATTCCGGAAAAATGAAGACGTAAAACGAAAATCGAAAATGAAGGATCAATATACAATTTCAAGACGAACATTTAAAAAAAAATTCACCTCAGACACTCCAACCCCATAAAGTGAAGAGCAATTTGGGTGACACAGTGGCGCGCCACCGCGCGACATGTACGCCACTGGCAGCAGGCTTCGTAGATAATAAATGAGACAGAAACCAGTTTTTTGTCTCAATAATGTTTCTAAGGACGCGTATTTTAATTTAAAAATGCATTTTTAACAATAAACTACACTAATAATAAATAAAACTAGATCTAAAGGGAGAACATGTTCTATTACAAATGTGGTAAAAAAATCAAAAATTTTAAACTAGTTTTAACCACTTTAAACATAGAAACTTGAGAGCGGGCATCGATATCGACATATCTGCGCGGGCATCGACATATGTAAAAACGAATAGAGGTAAAAAATAAACGTACTGGCTAGCCGACCGCCGCACCGGCGGTAGTTGAATTTAATAAAACGAAAACCGTCTTCCGGCGGCATGGTCTTCTCACATATAAGAAAGCCGCCGAAAATCTTAACTGATTTGTTGATGAGGGCAGCAGGCTATCAGAGTATTGATAAAGCCGCCGGACGACGGTCTACTGTATTTGAAACATTAAATGCCGCCGGAAAAAACTCGCGTATCGGGGACAACACTAATCATTTGTAATTGCTGTGGTGGAAGGTGTTTGTGTTAATGCGTCTTGTTTGTTTTCATTTACGCCGTGACTAGCAGTAGTATTTTATAAACCTTAGAAGCAAACACATACATGAACAAATAATAATAATGCCGTGACAACAAGAAGACGAAGTAACGACTTTTTCAATCCATACCTGGCTACGCCGACCGGCATAAACACCAACGGCCTGGACATAACTCATCTACTCTGTCAAAAGGAGACCGATGTACAAATAAAACGCGTACGACATATTATGATCATTTGCCACAAAAATGTAGACGATTTTACAAGTATTTTTTCTTACCACCGGCATTCAATGTTTTAAATACAGTAGACCGTCGTCCGGCGGCATTTTTCAATTCACTGATATCATGCCGCCCTGATCAACAAATCAGTTTAGATTTGCGGCGGCTTTCCTGTATGAAGAAAACCATGCCGCCGGAAGACGGTTTTCTTTTCAACAAATGCAAGCACCGCTGGCGGTCGGTTAGCCAGTATGAAAATTAAAACTAAAACCATCGAAAAGAGAATATAATTTTATATAATATAGAGTATTCTTAATATCGATTTAGAGTGAAATTTAATATTTATTTGAGGGAGAGACATAAAAAACGAGTGAAAATTTGGAAAAATGTCCACTATGTAAAAACGAATTGAAATAAAAAATTGAAACTAAAACTATTGAAAAGAGAATACAATTTTATACAATACATAGTTAAAGAGAACTGTAATTTTTATTTAAGGGAGAGACATAAAAAAAAAGTGATCATTTGAAAAATTTCCATTATGTATCGTTTCGTTACATAATCTGTAGAAATTGTTGTAAAGTAACACGGCTCTACGGTATTCTAGTATAATCTAAATAATAATCTATTTCAATATCTAGACATATTTAAAAAGCACCATGTATAATCACTGGTCCCAAACAGATTATACAAAACAGAAGAAATATTATTCACACAAAAAAGACAAAACAAAATATTAATTATAAATCCTTACTCGTATGGGCTTCAATTTCTAAAAGAAGTCTGACTTCGAAAATGTCCCACAACGACAATGTACCATCTTCACAACCAATCACAAGTAAATAATCGCGCCACATCAGGCTTGTAACAACCGAATTTAGAATTTTGCTGAAAACTGACAGACCCGTATTCACATCAATTATTTGAAAAGTCATATCTCGACTACCGATAGCAAGTTTCATTCCATCTGGACTATAATTAATTGCGGTAATACTGGAAGATTGGATGTATTTTTTGAATAACAAGAACGTTGACATGTCCCATACATAAACGTCTCCATCCTCTGTGCCAACGGCTAAATGATGGTTAGTACTGAAACAAAAATATTGGTTTTGAATTGCCAGCATTAAAAACAAAATACATTTATAGCCTAATATGAAATCTAAAAGATCTTTCAAACATGGTGGTTTTATGTTGTTAGGTTGTTAAGAAATTATTTTGCCTAATATTAATATTATGTATATCTGATATGTATCTAATTTTATTAAGTATGGAGGTATACCCTTAATTGCAATTTTGTGAAAGACAGGAGTGCAACTTCCTTCTATTAGCCATCGATAACCAACGATTTCGAGAGAGTGTGTGACTAATTCTGTCATATTTTCTTATTCCTAAGACTCGAGTTTTGAAGTTTTTGCAATCTAATTTTATCAACTAAGGTTAAACAAGGGTCGTAGACGTAGTTACAATGATTTGCATGGGAAAGTACAAGAGCACCGCAAAGATTACTTTTTAATTTAATACTTAAGACATTCCTGTTTGGATAAAGAAATTTAATATTAGCGTAGGCTTTCTGTAATATAAATGAAACATGATCTGTGAATCTTAATTTTGAATCGATAATTACACCAAAGTTCTTATTTTTTTCGATATTTAAATTATTATTACTCATTTTAATCACTAAATCCTCAGCGGCAATGTTACCAAAGGGGATCATATGTGATTTCGCTTAATTAAGCACCAAATCATGATTCTGAGACACTTCAATAAGAGCAGATAGATCAGAATTTCTCATTTGTTCCGCAATAATCACATCTTCTCTATTAAAAAAAAATAATATAGTTGGGTATCGTCTGCGTACTATGCATTTTCATGTTATTGAGGCTACAAGGAATGTTACTAACATATACAATGTAAAGTATCGGGCCGAGTTGATTGTAATATTATTCTCTATAATTTTTGTCTTATACATAATTTTCCTAAAATGGCCCGTATTCGAGAAATTTGACAAAAAGTGTTAAATTTGATTTTTTAAGAAAATTGTTTAAATAAAAGTTGTTTGTGATGTCATTCTCTATAGTTTTTGTTTTATACATAATTTCTCTAAAATAAACTATATCGAATTTTAGAGAAACCTAACTCAAAAACAGATAAAGAGAAAAACACCGAAATTTTAAATTTAAGCTATCCTGCGGTGAACTTAGTGGCGTTTTCCTAGTTTAGAGATTATATCTGTTATTTACACTTACAGAAAATTCTTCAAATAAAGTTGTATGTAATGTTATTCTCCATAATTTTAGTCCTATGGATGATTTTCCTAAAATGAATCGTATTCGAGAAATTTGACAAAAAGTGCAAAATTCGAACTTTTAAGAAAATATTTCAAATAAACGTTGTTTGTGATATCATTTTCTATAATTTTTGTTTTATACAATAATTTCTCTATAATGGACCGTATTCCAGATATTTGAGTTAAAGTAAAAATTCCGAATTTTGAAGATGCCTAACTCAAAAACATTTTCTATAATTTTTGCTCCATACATGATTTGTATCATCCTCTAAACGTTTACAGAAACGCATAGCCGCTGCCTCACAATACTCAATACTTTTTTTTTTAATTTTCTGCTTTCTAATAACAGAGATTTACAATAAAAAAAATCTGGGACATCAGCTATGCAACACTTTACTTTGAATATCAAAGATCAGATGACCGTATTCTCACCTTCCGAATACAGTACAACTCATTTTACCCACCCCCTGCACTCAACTACAGCGGAGACAAAAAATCTTCCGTTTAACTTTTGTGTGACTATAATATATAAAATGTTTTATTAGGAAATATTTATTTATTTATTTATTTATCTAAATACTAACCTGTTGAAGCTGAGACAGTTGACTTGCGAATTATGATCGATTTGTTTCTGAAGGCATTGTATCGGTTTAATGTGTCCATTATTGTTTAAGCCTTTCCATACTTTTACTGTACAATCTCCACTACCGGATACAAGAAGATTAGATTCCTGATCGAAACATAAGCACGTAATGGCATCTTCGTGCGCTAGTACATTCTCTATTACCCTGCCGTAATCCAAATCATATAAAGAACTGAAAGTAATATATTATAATTATTACATATAATGTAAATATAAATAAACATACATTCCATTGTCCCAACTGGCTATAACGAGCACGTTAGCATTCGGTAACTGGATACAACTACTCAAAGGCATCCTTCCAATATTAGCAGATCTAATTTGTTTGTTTTGTGGAAGGGAAAATACTTTCAGTTTTGAATCGTGGCCTACGGATGTAATTTTTGTACCATCTTCACTGATAAATAAATCACTAACTGTATTTTTATGAGAATTAAAACTTGTTACGAACTCTAGATCGGTTGCTTCTTTCCATATACCTATAAAAATCAATATTATAAGATTTAATATAGGATAGTTTTACTCATTGTAATTTTTTCATTTGGAAATAAAATCAAAGTCGTTTTTATTCCGCACTATAGTTCTTACTAAGTTTTGCCCATCCTGAGAATCCCTTTACCCGCAGATTTTAGATAAAAACAGCTGCTTCTCGTCTAGGTCAGTACCTTTTAACGTAATAAATAACACTTGTTAGTTCTGTACCCTAATTACACCTAAAACACATATATACGTAACCCACACATTTATACAACTTCCATTCAACATAGCTTTGGTTTAATAAACCATTATTGTACCCATAATAGTCATGTAATTTAATTATTTTGAATATCAGTACATCATCTTGATAAATTTCCATATATTTAATTTTTTTTTAAATTGTCGATGACATTATTACTCAAAGATGGTTCACACTTTATATTAACATGGTACGTAAAAATAGATTGAATTAAAATCAAAAATCGGCCGTCTCAGGATTTTGTTTGAATATATTTCATACAATTGTATCAGTATGTAAAGATTTTAAATGTTATTTACTACTTACCTTCGCAATTTGTTTGAATTTCTTTAATTTGATACGGTTCAGTTTGTATGCTGTAACCAATTTTTCGTTGAGGATGAGGAACTTTAAAAACTTGCTTTGGAATTTGCCCAAATTCCATTATTTGTACTTCTAAAGCATGCCTTTGATTAAGATCCGTTATTGCGTCTAAATCTATTGCTCCTTCGTAACAAAGATGATAAAACACTAAAAAAATATGTTGCTTAAGTTTATTGACAAATATTAAAGGTAAATTTTGCATAAATGTCCACAAACCTTGGAGTTTTTTATATTAAGAAATATTAAAGGTGCGTTTTGGATACGTGTCCATAAACCTGGTGCTATTTTTATTTAACACAATAAGCGCCACATTGAGATCAGTTGTTCGCTCCCTGTGAGCAAACTTTTATTGCAACTTTTTTACTATTTAAATGAGTTTCTTTTTATCTACCTCAGTTTAATTTTTTAGTTTTCGGTCACATTTTTTTGTTTACTGCAGTTTTTGTTTCTTACTCATAACTTAAAATTAAATCGAGCCAATTTTTTTTTCTTTCTCGAAATAGTTGCGTTGGTTTTTTAAAGCACTAGAAGTAGCCGAAATATTTTAGTTTTAAGAGTTACCAATTTTTTAAGTAGCTTTAATTTTATAGTTTTGGGAATTCAATGATTTGTTTGATAAACTTTTTGTTACTAATTGAATAAATATATATAGTTACTGAATTTTTTGTTTTAAATGATCTTTTTGTATTAAAGTTTCAATTTTTTTTTATTAACTAATAAAAAAATCTGATGTGTCCAAATGACTTTCCTGTCTAGTTATTATAGGCTTTTTCCGGTTATTTTCTCGAATACGGACCATTTTAGAAAAATTATGTATAGAGCAAAAAATATGGAGAATAACATTACATATACTTTTATTTGGTGTTTTTCTCTGTATCCGTTTACGAGTCATCACAGACATCATCGCGAAAATAGTCAAAACCGATTCAGGGGAGCCCAAAACATAAAAATCCGTCAAAAAAATCATTATTCCTATACTTTTCTTAGTATAATCCTTATACTTTCCTTATCTGTATACAGACAGGAAAGAAAAATTGAAATTTCATTAAGTTATTCACAACTCAAAAATTATAATTAATAAATATTCTGATAAAGATTCAGTTGTCCCTTAAATTAACAGAATACGCTAACAAAAACAAATTTTCCAGAAAAAGTGACCACGGAAAAGCATACAAAGCATAAAAGTTGTAGTGTCCAAGAATGGGCATGTGGTCCAGAACGTAGCCCCGAAAATGCCAACCGATGGGCACAAGGGACTCAACGTGTTAAGGAATCATCAATGATTTTTAATTAATTGTTAAAACAATTCAACATTTGACCAGGCAAGTTTGTAACTTTATTTATCTTAAAAGCAAATTTTCAGAAAAAGGAAGTTTACAAAAGAAAACTGCAAAATATAGAGCGCATTTTGTCAATTTGACGTAAATCTCTTTTTCAAAAAATGCTTGCTAAGAGAGCTAGAGTTATTTTAATATTTGTATGGATGATATAGAAATTTAACTTACAATTATTCGCTTTGACAGCTTCCTCGCCTCTCTGCTTATAACCAAATATGAGATCAATCCATTTATGTAAATTCTCAGAAACAATGTCACTTTCTAAAGCGTCTCTCAATTTAAGAATAAAATCTTGTGGACCACTACACCATGGAGGTAATTCAACATCACCTACTTTTATATTATTGTGACGATAACCGAAATTGATGCCCATACCGTTCACTAAAAACTTGCCCTCTTCTGAAACATCATAAAACTGCGGAATGAGTTCTTTAAAGTCCGACATATTGTTTAGACAATTCTTGTAAGCGTCTGCCACCGAGTTAAACATTCTATCCGGATGGTCAAATCTGCCACTTTGCAAGCACAATACATAGTGTGGATAAAGTCTAGCTAAGTAATACAGCACAAATCCAGGAGTCGAATAGTGGGAACCATATAAAAATTTGTTATTAGGCATTTCTTGATATCTTTCCAGTAAACGGTTGAGGCGAACTTCATTTAAGGCACCCACAGGTTTAGAAAGATCGCGATAGTTAATCGGATCATTTAAATCTAATTTGTCTCCATTATAATTTGAAATTATCCAAGGAAAGACGGGATACTGAGTTAAGTCATTGAATGTTCTATCTCCTAAACTAAAATCAAATTTAATTGCACCAATAATAATATTTAATATTCTATGAAGTCATAAATACTATAAAAATCTAAATTAATATGAGAAGAATAAAGATGTATTAGAGGTTTATATATTTAAATTATGCACTCTATATTAAAAATAAAATATTGGCATTAACAATCTTTGAAACTAATCTGATGTTTATTGAAACAATAAATTGCTATATTTACACACCTGAAATGACTAAGATAGCTAATAAAACAACATTTACACACCTGAAATGACTAAGATAGCTAATAAAACAACAATGTTTGTAAATTACCTGTTAACATAAAGCAAATAATCATAATTGGATATAATACCATTTTGCCATTGCAATGTTATAATATCCTGCTGTATTTCATTCAATTTAAGTTCCGGTTGCTTTAATAAATTATCATATAATTCATCCCTTGCAATCTGATTACGAAATGAAAAATACGTATGAGGAGTCGGCGAATTATCATTACAGTATATTTCTAATCCCTATAAAAATAACTGTAAATTAAAATTTGAAAGTCAAATAACGTATTAATGAAACTTACAATTTGCCGTAACAAAAACCTTCGTTTAACAATTTGTTTAATACTGCTGAGGTTTATTTTCACAGGATACTGAAAAATTAAGATATTTTAAGAGCAACAGTGTCTCAATTATTCAAATTGCAGATTAATTGTATTGATGTTCTAAAAATTTAAATCAATCTCATAAATCAAAAAGGGACCCATTCATATATTATTCCCAAACTGAAAATTGACCATAAATAAATATGCTTATTCATTGCACGGATTATAAAAAACTAAATTATTAAAACAAGACTGGAATTGACAAAAGAAATCTATTTTAGCTCTTACTGAAAAAATTATTACCTCTCCCATTTTGTTGTATGGTTGAAAATATAATTTTGATGTTGATAATACTATACGGCCAGGGTTAACTACCAATGGAGTAACTTTATCCGCATGTGATTCTAGTACAACTTTTTCATACAAATCCATCCATCTTGGGTCAAACACATCCCTGGATTGTCTAGAATGTACAATAGTTGCTATCTGAAAAGTAATTTCCAATTGCAATATATACACAAATTGTTAAAGATTCTTATTACTTAAATTTAAAAAATAACTAGAAAAAACCTAAACACTTATAATTAATTCTCCAGTTCCTATTCAAAATACGTTTTAAGCTATTGCATAGCTTTTATCGCGGGCTTTAGGCGGCGACCGAATCAAGAAATTTCGTAACATCGTAACGAAAATAAACCTAACACCCCCCACTCCGACCGGCACAGCGGTGCGGCGTTAAAGCCATGGAAGGTTTTATCCGACCCTATTCGTATTAGTATGAAGCGGAGTTAAATATACGTCTGCAGACTGGAACATTTATGCAATACAAGAACTAGAAGAGCTTTCTCTGGCTTCTAATAAATTGGTATCACAAATGTTCCCGGCTGGCGTAAATATTAGATATTAATTTTTAAGCTATTGCATAGCTTTTATCGCGGGCTTTGAGCGCGGCGATCGAATCAAGAAATTCCGCGAAAATAAACCATTGTCTGCATTGTCTAACGTCGTTTCAGTTCGGCAGACTTCGGCACGGTGTTTGTGTGCGTGCGACTAGACGCATGCGTGTAGACTAGCTGCTAACTGCTCATAACTGATTCTATCTCTTTTAGACACAATGCTAGGTGAGACAGCGTGCTTTTTGGCCGCGTCCACGAGTGAGTTCGAGCCCACTGGAGTTGTACAGTATATTTTTTCTACGACTAACTAACAAAAATCGAAAAATCGAAGAATCGAAATATCGAAAAAGAAATTCCGTAACGAAAATAAACCTAACACCCCCCAGTCTGACCGGCACAGCGGTTCGGCGTTGAAAGCCGTGCATCGTCTATCGTTTAACGTCGTTTCAGTTCGGCAGACTTCGGCACGGTGTTTGTGTGCGTGCGACTAGACGTATGCGTGTAGACTAGCTGCTAACTGCTCATAACTGATTCTTTTAGACACAATTTCGGAAACATTGAGTTTGAAAATGAATAATGATCCACACCAAAATATGGGACCACCATTGACGCGGTATTATCCAGATATTTAGAGGATATCAAGTCTCAAACTTATGTTTCTTATTTCAGTTACTATAAACCTATAGTTTCAATGATAAAAAATCCTGAATAACCTACATGTATTGTAAGATAATAAAAATATTTTAAACAATATTAACTTCTCATTTATTTAATAAAAGAAAAAAAATTGTTTTCTTATCAGTCACCACGCTCAAAAAGTGTAACTTGAATTAATATCAAAGAAAAAACTTGAATTAATATAAAAGAAAAAATAATACTGCATAAATAAAATAAATAAATAATTATAATTGCATAACTTGATAAAAAATGCTATGCAATAGCTTTACCGCGGCAGTCCCTGAGTGCCACATGTATTTTTTTTGTTTTCCTGGTACAAAAAAGTATGTTAATAATAAGGGCACAAGATAAAAAATAATAGTGTGTTTAAGAAGACATGACGCAAGAAAAGAGTTTTCCTTAATAAGTACAAAAATAATTTGTTATATTATTTGTAAAGATCAAATAATGGTAATCTTGTAGTTGACGGGTCTAGAAATGCACATATTCACACCACTCTGCATTGACATCTAAAATTTAAATTTGACATAAATTTGAGTTTTGTAATTATCACTATTGAAAAGTATTATTGACATTTTAAAAATAATAATCGTATTACTTGAAAATCTTCAGAACATTTTTTATTTTTATGGGATTTTTAATATAAAAATTGGTAAATAGATGATTAAAAGTAAAATAATTAATTCAATATACTTATTCCTGGTTCCAAATAATTAAATATAACCTGGCAACTATATGTAACGATTCCAACCGTCACAACTAGCCAGAACAGGAATGGTGCAGACAGGGGCATTTCGAGACCCTTCAACTACAAGAATACCCAAATATTGAACTTAAAAATTATATAAATATGAATTAACGAACCATATCAGCTTGTTCAGCAGCTGGTAAACTACTAGCTCTGTGCAGCTGACAAACTTGTGGTAAACAATTCATAACATTAGCATAATTAAGTAGAAATAAAAAATTTGCAGGCTTTCTAAATTGGTATGGAGCTACGATATTTTTTTCCAGAAGTTCTATATATTCCTTACAGTTTACACTCATCACATTATTGTTACTGTTTAAAAATTTGGCAGTGCCTTTCCATTGCTCTATAACAACACAATCTTTGAATAAAATTTTAATTATTGGTTTAGATATATCCTTCGGATCGAAGACCAGAGATTTGGAGCACATTTTTAATCTGCCATCCTGTTTTTTAGTATCGTATGTCTTTGGTGTTGTATCTGGTGGTATAAAAATTGCACTAAAATCCTCGAAGTAAATTTCACCTGGGTCTAATTGCAATAATGAAAATCTAAAAAAAAATCTCTTAAGTTTATTTTAATTTGGCAGATTCAAAATGTATTATTACCTCTCTTTCTCCATTTTTAAAATCCTGAAATGTTTAAAATATTTTAAATTGCAACAATTCCACTTCGTGACATTTTTCAAAATAAATATAAATATTGTTGGACAGGCAATTGGACAGGCAATGACAGTTTATGATATGGCAACCCTGTGGGCTTGGTGATTTGATAGGGTCAATGAAATAGATAGTTATATAGATTGCTCATCCATGTTATGCCTTGAAATAAAAATGTAGATAATTATTTTTTAAATACTGTACTCAAAGCTTAAAAATTGGTTTTAAAACACATTTTTGCGAAATCGATTCGGATTAATGAGCACTTGCGAGGCATTAGCTTTGTTCGCGGAGCCTGTCGCCGACAAGTCCACGACAAATGAACATGCACATTTTGATTTGTGGTTCGCGGAGCTGAAAATACGGATTTTGACAACATATGCAGCGTTCGCAGTACACTTGTCTGTAGTATACGACAAGTTACGGACAAGTCAAAACCATTAGCAAACATTAGCGTGGACAGTTTGTCAGGAAATGCTTAGTAAGTATATATAAGTGATTCATAAATCCACATATCCGATGCATTTTTTACATCTCTTGCATTTGTTTATCCACATCGGACACATCTACTACATCTGCATCTGCGTTTGTTTATCCCAGATGTACCTGCAAGTTCAGATTTCATTTTTTACATCTCGATTTGAAATGAGATGTTCGTTCCATGCCAGAAAGTGTTCTGTGAAGTCAAGTTTGTCAATTTATTCCTTATCGGACGTGGATAAAATCTCGTACGTGGGATTGGGTCGAAAACATTAAAATCCCGAACGGGCGGAGTTAGAGATATGCCGCGTTTGAGAATCCACATCGGATGTATTTTTTACATCTCGAGCGTTTTTTTATCCACATCGGACACATCTGTCGCTGTCCCATTACATTTACGTATACTGAATCACGTGATCAAAGATTTTTTACATCTGAGATGCATCCGATGTGGATTCTCAAACGCAGCAATTAATGTAAAAGAAACGTATGAATACATTACATTTTTAGCTAATATATCATCATGATTAAATTGACAGTAATAAATTGAAATCATGAAATCTGAACGATTTACAAAAAAATATAGAACATTTAAAACTAAACAAATATTAGCGAAGGTAGAATTATTCGATTAAAAATGTTTGCTAAGAATTAAGCTAATTGAAAAAAAAAAGTAAAAGATGAATATTAAGGGTGAGATTACAGAACGTCTGCAACTTTGCAGATCTGCAAATATGACGGCAACTTTGAAAATCTGCAAATATGACTGACAGAGGGGTATATTCTGTAACAATTCCTTTATATTTAACGGCCTTTAAAAATATTGGCGGCCTTTAAAAATATTTTCGTATTCGTTAATTTACTTCTGTCATTATTTAAACAGATATCTTTAAGATAGTCAGTCCTCTAATGTATTTTAAAGATCCGTTTAAATAATGACAGAAGTAAAGAAGAAAATATTTTTAAAGGCCGTTAAATATAAAGGAATTGTTACAGAATATAGACCCCATAGGGCCGATTCCACCGTTGTGTTAAACGGAGATTAAAACGACATTGTTAATATAAAAATGTCATTTTAAACTTCGTTTAACACAACGGTGGAATCGGTCCTTACACATGCAAGTATCAATTTTTCGTATTCCAAATTTGGGTTTAGTGTTGTTGGGGGTAATAAACCACAATTGCGAATTTGCAGATATTTTTTTGGAATACTTGCATTTGTAAGTCCGCCATATTTGCAGATCTGCAAAGTTGCAGACATTCTGTAATCTCACCCTAAATAAATTAAATTACCTAGGTATACATAAAGCATACTTTATTAAAGTAATTTAATTATGATTATGATTTAATTATGAATAAAAATGGAATTGAATAAGGATAATTTTCTGACCGTAGTAGAATTTTATATAAAAAAAAACAAGGAGTTATAGGCTATTGCCAAAATATTAACTTCCTACGAAATAGATGAACAGTGGTCGGGGTTTTCATGTTCAATACCAAAGAAAAAAGTAATTTAAACATTTAAACAATATAATACGTAAGTTAATTTTTCTTTCATTTTAAAAAAGAAATACTTTCTAACTTTCAAAATTATATTTCAGCAGCTATTATGTTGTACATAAATATGATTCCAGTAATTTAAATTCTTCTATTATATCAAATTACATTTTTGTGCACAAAACAAAATACGAATATCATCCTAATCCTAATCAAATTTCAGTGACCATTTACGTGTAATCTTCTTTAACCTTTAACCCCCTCCCCGTTCGGGATTTTAATATTTTCGACACGATCCCACGTACGGGATTTTATCCACGTCCTTCTTTATCAAAAATTCTCTATCACGTGATAAAAAATTCACAACATCTGAGATGCATCCAATGTGGATATTCAAACCAATTCAAACGCGGCATATGAAGAGAGAAAAAATGAACGGAATAAAGAGGAATGGTCGATTGAGTTTTTAATTATGCCGGCTAATAAAAAATTAAACAACAATTAAAAAGTACAATTTTTATCTATTCTAAACACTATCTTCACAATCTACCAGTCTTTTGTCTCACTTTTTATTTTGAGTTGTATGATTGTAATTTTGGTACACAAGTCGTTCGCGGTAATCTCTTGTCAGGAGTATGTTACGAACAATGAACTGGAGGGGGGTAGAATGCCAATGTACATGTTGTACTATTAGAACAAGGTGCGACTCGATGGGCGCAGCCATTTTTATTGTTCATCTCACTCGGGACTATTTATAATAACCATTTTCTGTTTCACATTGTTATTGTTCAATCCACAAGCTGGTGGATCAGACAATAACAATGTGAAATAGAAAATGGTTATTTTAAATACTCCCGAGTGAGATGAAAAATAACCTATCTTCGCCCATAGAGTCGCACATCAAGTCTATTGACAAGCATTCTACCCCACTCCAGTTCATTGGTTACGAATCGTAGTTGCTGGTAGTTGCGCACAAACATTTCTGATTATTTATCAGTGACAAGTCGTGAACTTGTCGGCGTCAGGCTCCGTGAACAAAGCTAATATGGCCACTCAAAAACGACCCGCTTTGAGTAATCTATATATTATATAACATTGACCCTGTAAAAGACAACAGGCTCACAGGTTTGCCATATTATAATCTGTCATTACCCACGGGCAGCATTCTGACATGCATGGGGGTCGATTCTCGACTTGTAGGAACCTTTAGGTTCTTTCGTTCGTCCCACTGGTGTAGTTGGGTGTAGTAATGAACTACACCAACCCACACCCATACCTTTCGTTTGGTCCGGTGTAAAACCCACTATACCTTCCTGTCGGCGATGTGGTGTACACTGGTGGATATTTTCTCCACCAGCTATTTAGCAGGAGTGAATTACACTCGACGATGTGTATAAGGAATAAGGAGGAAGTAAATTAGGGTAAATAAGGTGGTGTAACTGGTGTAATTTACACTGGTGGACACTACACCAATAGCGAACGAAAGAACCTTTTATTTCCTATTAGGCATTCCAACGACCTGTCAAACAATAGGTGCCAGTGGGAAATTCTTGTATATTTAAGGGGGTAGCGACATAGTCTTGCAACTTGGACGCTATTTTTATTCGAAGTAGTACTCGCCAAGCCTGCCAATTTATGAAGAAATGTATAGGTGGGTTTTTTAAATATTATTTTTATTGTGTTTGACATAAAATATTTAAATGGAATCCATTATTCATGATTTTACGTAAAGTAGATAGAATACACCATATGTCGCCACCCTTAGATATACCAAACCTGCCCACTGGTAATTCATTTGTTTGGAATGCCTAATAGGAATTTGTGACACTTTCCTATATGTAGGAAAATGTCATAAATTTTCGATGTATAGGAAAAAATTCCTACGAGTCGAGAATCGATCCCATGTTACGCTCCGTTGCCTATCAGGCCATTGATACAAATAATCTACTTTTTATCCAATCAAATGGCGACATTTTATGGAGTCAAACTTCATAGGCGTAGATATTTTGAAAATAAAAAAGTAAGAATTTATGATTATTATGAGTTAGTGAATAAATTCGAATAACAAAAATTCAAAAGTTTAAAACTAAAAAAAGTTTGAAATTGAAGCAACCCGCGATGGCTCCAAGCCGCATCGGCGCGGTATTTTTTTTAATGAGAATACTATATAGGACAATACATGGAGGAAGGACAATATTTCTATTTTAAAATTTTTGCTATTAAAATTAATTTGTAAAATCACTTCCTAAATCCCCTATATAAGTTCGAATGTTTTAAAGAGGTATTGGTATAAACCGCCCTCTAAATAAGAAAATATTTTTTTATAGGAAATCAGATAAAACTTAGGCACAAGTTAATATTTACGGGGAAGTACAGTTCTAATATGTAGAATGTCATCATAAAGCGTTTTTTATTCCAAGTATTCCAATAAGAGCAGAAAATCCCCTAGAACAGGGGGGTTCCCATACTTTTTCAGTTCGCGGCTCCCTTACAGGGGCGCACACTTTGGGAACCACTGCCCTACAAATTAAAAAAATATTTTTTTATACGAACCAGAAAAACGTAAAGTTCAAATTATTTATAGAAGTAGTTTTAATTAAACGTCGTCCTAAAGCCATTTCGAGTGTTCTAGAGGCAGAAATTACCATCTAAATAAGAAAATATTTTTCAGAGAACCAGAAAAAATGTTTCAAATTTATTGGTGGAGTACGCACTTATACGTAGTGTCAATAGTGTATACAATCACATGCAACCAGCAACTTTAGAACGTGATTGTATACCTATTAAAACTGTATTTCTCCGTAAATTTTGTTGTACGCCCTTTGTCTCCCCGGAAAAAAAGTCGGCGCTCATTTAACATTCTATTATATCATTTTATTTGTAAAATATATACACTATACATGCTGAACCTAAAAATAACATAAAAAAAAAACATTTACGTGTATCACAATGACTCTAGTACTAAAATAATTTCCCTTAATAACATTTGTGGGGATTTGTCAACTGTACTAAAATATTTCAATAATTTAATTTCTTCCAGGTTCATAAAACTTTCCAAAATTTTTTTAATAGCCTTCAAGTCAAATAATATGTGATTTATTCCCACAACATAACCATGAAATAAAACTCTTACAGACTCATCTTTAATCATTTCAATCCTCTTGGTAGCTATAAATTTTAAAAATTCATAAAAGATCTGAAAATCCATGCCAAATAAAGTATTCAACATTATTTGGCAATGTTGATCAAAGTCTTCCATATCACTACAGTCTTTAATTTCTTTTTTAATATCACATAAATTAGAGAGGAGCGCATCATACATATTTTGAATATTACAACCATTTATCCAGTTGTGATTTACAGATATTGTATCACTCAAATTCCAAACTTCATGATGCCAACCAGACGGAACAAATATGGCTTCTCCAGAATGTTGTATGACTTCAAAATATTTGCTATTTGAAATACAATCGGCTGGAGTAGAACCATCTGGCATTAAATCATAAGGTAAATTACCAAATTCATCTTTTATATATTCTTCTTCCCCAGGTGGAAATAGCAACCACTTTTTCCTGCCAAACACATTTACAGACCAACTGTATGAATTAAAAACATCAGCATGAAATGGGGTCCTAAATAAAAAATGATTAGAAATGTACTTATCATCATATAACAAAGTAGCTAATATTAATTCGACACATTTTGAATATCTATGAAAATAATTGATGTACTGCTTGAATGTTTGCATACAGCTACTACTTTTGGGCTAGTTTGAAAGTTGAAGAACTGGAATGGTTAATGCCTTGACACTCCTAATTAAACACTGAACTCTTTACTGTATTTTAAATATTCATTTAATATTTTTATAGCCTAGAAATATAATTCAAAATTTCACAGTTTCAGCGAAATCAATGAGCAAGCTGTAACCACTGTACTGAAATTTTAGCGTGATACTAGGAAAAATATTTATGAAAAGTTACTTGTAAAAATTGTATATGTTCCTTCAATATATGAATGGTTACTGCAAGGTAAAAAGGATATATTTTATTGTAATAAACTCATGATTCTTTGATCCTATATTATTTTCCCATTTCATAAATATTACAAGAAAAATTATGCCTGGATTATATAAAAACTTTGACAAAATATTTAAAAAATGTGTCAATTTATAGTTGGCCACTGTTTTTAATGATTCATTGCAACTATGAAGCCTTACCAAGTTTCATTTGGACCCATATATACAAATCTGTAATCATCATTGGTATTTTCAATGTAGAACTCATTTAACCAGTCCGAGGCAAAAAAGATTGGTACCTCATAAAAGTTATCATCACAATGATTTAATTTTAAGTGCCAATTTTTTAAATATTCGCTTCTTGGAAATGATGTACTAATATCATCATTTTTAGGTCCACTTAAATAATCCTTAAATTTAATGGTCTTATATTTTTGTGAGTTATAATATTTTTCTTTGCAATTATAAACAAAAACTGAATCCAAACCGTATTTCTCTTGTAAATAACTAATATTTAGATTTTTAGCATCTATTATCCATAATTTAGAACATTTCCAATTGGTACAACAATTTTGAATGATACAAGGAATGTTCGGCAACATAAAATTGCGAAAGAAAAAGTCATAACTAACGTTTGTTGAATCCAATACTTCAATGTTGTTAACTGTATTATAATTGTAAATTATTTCCGAGTTAATGCTGGAATCAATTTCAAACATTTCTTCATCACTAATTTTTTAAATTTTGAAATTAATTTTTAGGTTGACACTTGACATTCGACAACTTGACACGAAGTGCGTTTAGGAATTTTGCCCGGCGCGCGACGTTTCAGAAATCGTTCAGAAAGTTAGGTAAGAAGTGACGTCATTTAAAAACCCAAATAGCGGAAAACACTAGGTCTTTTCCTTTGCATCGAAAGTGTAGCACTGAGCTACGTCACTTCTGAAAATATCGTTCCATCCATACAATTTGTATATATGGAACGATATTTTCAGAATTGGTGTAGCCCAGTGCTACACTTTCGATGCAAAGGAAAAGACCTAATAAAACTGAAATGGAAACATTAGAACTACTTCTTAAAACCCATTTCCCTGATTGCACAACAAACTCGAATGCAGCAAACCAAACCCACACGAACTGGATCTCTCAAAAAAGGGTCTTTAGCCAAGAGTGGGAAACTGCTAAACGGGTAGTTACAACAGAGAAAGTGGGCAATACGCACCTTCAATCCATACGAATTACCGAGACTAGATGGGGTACTGCCTGTGGTTTTGCAACAGGCAATAGAAACGCTGGCCCCGCATATTTGTAGGCTTTACAGGGCAAGTTTGGTGCATAAACATGTACCAAATACCTGGAAACCAAGCAGAGTTGTCTTCATACCTAAACCGGGGCGTCCAACGTATGCCGTGGCAAAGGCCTATAGACCAATAACTCTGACGTCATTCCTATTGAAATAATTGGAAAAACTGATTGATCAGCATGTCCGGCAAACCACTCTGATAGAGAAGCCATTTCATACAAAATCAACATGCCTATCAATCAGGAAAATCTTGTGAGTCTGCTCTGCATCGTATTCTAACCAAGATAGAGGGAGGACTCAGTAACCAAGAAATAGTCCTAGGAGCATTTCTTGACATAGAAGGAGCTTTTGATAATACCTCTTTTAAATCAATGGTAGCTGCGGCTCGCAAACATGGAATAGAAGACACCATCTGCTGGTGGATAGAAGACATGTTATGCGGACGGTAGGTACAGCCACAAATGTTCAATGAAACCATGCAAGTCAATGTCCACAGGGAATGCCCACAGGGTGGAGTCCTTTTTCCTCTACTGTGGAACCTCGTGGAGATGAACTGCTGAAAACACTAAACAATCAAGGGCTGTACGCACAAGTATTTGCCGATGACATAATCATCCTTATCCGAGGGAAACACCAAACAACAGTCTTTGAACTCATGCAAAGAGCTCTTAGGCTGACAGAAATGTGGTGCGTTAGGGAAACCCTCTTGGTAAACCCTGACAAGGCACAACTCATAATCTTTACTCGGAAAACAAGGTTAGATGAGGTTTTAGAAACTCCGACTCTGTTTGGAGGAAGGCTAAACAAAACGAACCAAGTAAAATATCTGGTTCTAATCCTAGATAGCAAACTTACTTTGGAACCAACACTTACAAAAAGTGACCAAAAAATGTAAAATATCTCTCATTGTAGAGAGATGGGCATTTTGAAAAACATGGGGATTAAAACCAAAAATGGTCTACTGGCTATATTTGGTAATAACAAGATCCATGATAACTTATGGAGCGGTTGTTTGGTGGCCAAAAGTAAACCAGAAAACAGCCCTCAATACCCTCTCAGGAGTACAGAGGCTGGCATGCCTCTGTATTACAGGAGCATTGAGAAGTACACCGACAGCCTCTATGGAAATCATTTTAAAACTCCCACCCCTTGACCTAGTCATAAAGGGGGAGGCCAGAATGAGTGCATATACAGACTGGACATCTCCAACAACTGGAACCCACTGGGACATATAAAACATACCAGAATAACACATGAAGTAAATGATTCTATATTAAATATGGGATCATATCACATGATACCCCTCCTATAACCTTTAACAGACTCTTCCTGGTTAACTGTAACTGGAACGAGATAAATAAGGAGATAGATAAATACTTGCTTCCCTGTCTCGTATGGTATACAGATGGATCTAAAACTAACAAGGGAACAGGCTCTGGCGTACATTGAGTTAAACCCAAATGCGACATCATCGTTTCACTGGGAAAACATGCCACTGTACTTCAGGCTGAAATTAATGCAATCGAATTGTGTGTACGAGAGAATTTAAGAAGGAAGTACAAAAAACAAACCATCTTAATTCTCTCAGATAGCCAAGCAGCTTTAAAGGCTCTTGATTCAAACAGAATCAAGTCAAAGCTTGTCTGGAACTGCTTTATTGGAATACTAAATGATCTGGCAACCCACAACAAGGTAAAACTAGCGTAGGTACCAGGGCACAAAGGTATCCAAGGAAATGAAAAGGCTGATGAACTCGCCAAAGAGGGATCAGATCTACCATTCACAGGACCCGAACCTGTATTTGGGATAAGCAAAATCTCTGCTCGACAGGCAGTAAACAGGTGGATAACCACAAAACACCAAATTCACTGGCAACAGATAAGAGGGCACAGAATTAGTAAGCTCATGCTAAGGGGACCAAACCCACGCATGGCTACTAAGGCACTACAACTCGCAAGGCCTCAGATATCCACCATTGTGGGATTACTAACGGGGCACTGCTTGCTGAAACACCTTCATGTAATGGGATTACACAATGATCCCACTACGTATAGACTTTGCATGGAAGAGGAAGAAACCTGATATCATGTGATGTTCGAATGCGAAGCTCTTACTGGGCGACGTTTCGTCCTTTTCGGCCTAGAACTGGAAAGAACGCCCCAGGAACACTTGGTAGGGAACATATTAAAACTAACCAAAGACACACAGCAGGACTATTCCAAAGATAGTATAGGTACCTGAATACGGATGAAAGCCAGGGGAATACAATAAACCCAAGAGGCCGCAGTGTTCTGTGCCAAACCTAACCCTACTTGCTTACAACCGATAAAGATAAAAAAAGACGTCATACCCCAAAATCTTAGGAAAATCTTAGTTGCATACCGTTCAGAAATTACGTTCTGTGAGGCATATGAAAAAACAAATCTAAAACGAGACACTTTTTTATAGTAAGATTTACTGGTTTTTCTTTTTTTTATAAAATTATTTAATGGTTGTAGGAAAAATATTGTACATCACTTGTGTGAAACTGATTTTTCACACTCGTGTGATTGTCGCACTCGGCCTATGCCTCATGCGACAATATGTTTATAAGTATTCAACAAAATGGTAAAACGATTACCAGAAAACTTTAATACTAAACGTAGTTTCCTATTTTAAGAGACACAAATCTATTTGCGAGGCCCTTGTAAAGAGGTACATCCAATGATGCCTGATGTGAAATGTGCTGCACGGTCGATTAATACATGGATTCGAAAAATTGGCCATGGTGGCAATGAAGAAGGGTTTATAAAAGATGGAGACCTCATTTAAAAGTCAAACAAAAAGCGGGGATTACCATAATAATATGAACACAGGAAATTTCGAAAACATCCCTCTTTGAATATAATCATTAATGCCAGTTATCATTCGCGGTACGTGGAACCAATTCCATCTTAAAGTTGGACAAAAGATAAAATGGTTGCAGGAAAAAAACATTAATTATCCAATCGATGGTATGAAATATCAGATTTGGCAAGTTGTACGTCAAAATATACCTCGAAAAAGATATAGACCAGGGCATACTGGCGCATTCGTTTGCAAAATTGTTTTAATTCGTAATTTTTTTTTTTAAATATCCGGAAGGCTTTCCTGATTATAAAAGTGTAAGATGACACTCGATAACTGTTGATGTTATTGTTTAAACAACGAAAAATTAATTAAGCCAGAAAAAATGCATTTTTTGCAATGAATTAATTTTTTTTATACTCCTTAGGATATTTCGAATAAAAAAAGTCCTTACACCCATCATCGTATCTTCAACCCTTTAATTGTTATGAATGTTTTAAAATTCGAAATTGACGAAAATTCTAATTTTCTTGAATTAAATAATATACCTTAAAATTTAAAATGCTATAATTTTCAATTTTTTGTAAAAAAAATAACCTAAATAAATTTTCAAAATTTTGTTCGTTGTTTTTTTTACGTTATAACAATATGCTTCCTACGCGCGTGTACTTTTAGAGAGAAGTACTTCTATCTCACTTCCAACTCAATGTATAAGATAAGTAAGAGAAAGCCCGATGACGCACTAAATCAATTTTTTGCTGTTTTTCAGCGGTAATAAGTTTAAAAAAATTATTTAATTTAAATTTAAATTTAAAATTATTATTATTATTAATCGGCAAATATAACAAAGTGTTATGAAAAATGTTAATAATAATTTTTTTAAACTTATTACCTCTGAAAAACAGCAAAAAATTGATTTAGTGCGTCATCGGGCTTTCTCTTACCCATCTTATACACTGAGTTGGAAGTGAGATAGAAGTACTTCTCTCTAAAAGTGCACGCGCGTAGGAAGCATATTGTTATAACGTAAAAAAAACATAACAACAAACAAAATTTTGAAAATTTATTTAGGTTATTTTGTTTATTATAGTTTGAACATTTGGTAAAAAATTTAAAATTATAGCATTTTAAATTTTAAGGTATATTATTTAATTCAATAAAATTAGAATTTTCGTCAATTTCGGATTTTAAAACATTCAAAACAATTAAAGGGTTAAAGATACGATGATGGGCGTAAGGACTTTTTTTATTCGAAATATCCTAAAGAATATAAAAAAAATTAATTCATTGCAAAAAATGCATATTTTCTGGCTTAATTAATTTTTCGTTGTTTAAACCATAACATCAACAGATATCGAGTGTCATCTTACACTTTTATAATCAGGAAAGCCTTCCGGACATTTTAAAACAAAAATTACGAATTAAAACAATTTTGCAAACGAATGCGCCACTATGCCCTGCACTAATAGATATGTTGAGGAATATAAACATAAAATATCAAGAATCCTCCTTCCATATCACTGCCAGTAATAATCCTTCCTCCATGACTGCCAGTACAATGCGATAGAGATGATGTGATCAGATCAGAGTGCAATCGGTAATCGGTTTTATGACGAACAAATTTGAACAACAACGTCGTCACCGGAGGATGTTCTTTAGACTTGATCAGCTTTGAATAATGTTACCGATACTCAGTAGGACAATTATGTAAGACACACTAAAAACATAATTGTTTCCGATTGGAAACAATATAAGCAATTAGGTGTTTCTGATCTAGAACCAATTAATATAAATTTAGGTACAACGGCAAGTAGTGATGAGTCTGAATCAGAGCCCAGATGTGAAGAAAATGATATTGATTAAAAAAAAGATATATGAGTTATCCAATAAATATTTTGTGCCTCTTGTTATAATACACTGGCGAGCAAAAACTTGAGGTCACTTCAGAAATTGCGAATAATTTTAGGACAATAGTATTAGAAAAAAATGCATTTCTGTTTAGTATAGAGTACCACATTCAGCTTACAAAAGCACATGCAATGGTGTACAGTTTGCGAATACGATCTGAAAACGTAAAATTTCAAAGAACATGAAAATTTTAAGGTGACCTCAATTTTTTTACTCGCCAGTGTAACAGTGTAACAAAGAATCTGTTTCACCAATTTGGATTATCTTTAAAAACTCAAACGCTAAAAACCAATGTTCAGCTGGAAAATTTATTTATAAAGTATGAAAGTAATTGTTCTATTATTTGTAATTTTTTCAAAGTGACTTCTTGTATTCGTGTAAATGCACCCTAATAAAATGTACACTGCTAAGCAAAACTTTTCTATATTTAAGTAGATTTAGTGAATAACACATAAATGATACTTATACAGTGTCGGCTATCGAACGTTTTCAAGTACATATTGCGTATGTCCGAGTGAAAACCCGAGATAGTTAGCATTAGTGCGAGCTGGAAACGAATAATACCATCACATTGCTGTGTGTGTGTGTTTACATTAAACAGAGCGCACAAGGCAACGTTGATATTATTCGTTTTCTGCTCACCCCGATGCTAATTCGATCTCTGTAGTTTTCGTCTTGAAGCTAGCAAATCGTATTGGACGGTGTTGAATGGCAGTTACCACTGAACTGTAACGGTATAGTCACTTATATAGTTCAGTGGCCGTTACGCTATATCTAGTTATTTTTTTATAAAACCTTTCTATTGAGTTCAAATTGTATTCTAATATAGAAAATCCATCGATAATTATTAAGCGTATTTAACGAAATGTCAAACAGAGTGGTTAGTTTTGGATTGTTTGCGATATTTCGGTTAATTATCGGATCACCGAATTAGGCATTCCAAACAAATGAATTGCCAGTGGGAAGGTTTGGTATATCTAAGGGTAGCGACATACGGTGTATTCTATCTACTTTACGTAAAATCATGAACAATGGATAACATTTAAATATTTTATATCAAACACAATAAAAATAATATTTAAAAAACCCACCTATACATTTCTTCATAAATTGGCAGGCTTGGCGACTACTACTTCAAATAAAAATAGCGCCCAAGTTGCAAGATTATGTCGCTACCCCCTTAGATATACAAGAATTTCCCACTGGCACCTATTAGGCATTCCAAACTGAATGACTACCAGTGGGTTTTGACAGGTTATGATGTGACAAAGTTATGGCAACTCTGTAGACCTGGTGATTTGACAAGGTGAGTGAAATAGAGAGTTACATAGATTGATCATCCCTATTTTTTAAAATAAACATAAGCTTATGCCTTGAAGTAAAAATATAAGCAATTATTATTTTTTAAATACTTAAAGTTTGAAAATTGGTTTTAAAACACATTTTTGCTAAACTGATTCAAATTAATAAATATTTGCCAGGCAATATGGCTGCTCGCAAACGACCAGCTTTGAGCAATGTATATAACATATATGTATCATTGACCCTGTTAATGCAACATGACAACAGGGTTGCCATATCTAAACTGTCAGTACCCACTGGTAGCCATTTGGACAGGTCGTTGGAATGCCTAATTGTTTGACAGGTCGTTGGAATGCCTAATATCGAACCATACCCTATTTACGTCAATTAGGCATTCCAAACAAATGAATTACCAGTGGGCAGGTTTGGTATATCTAAGGGTGGCGACATATGGTGTATTCTATCTACTTTACGTAAAATCATGAATAATGGATTACATTTAAATATTTTATGTCAAACACAATAAAAATAATATTTAAAAAACCCACCTATACATTTCTTCATAAATTGGCAGGCTTGGCGACTACTACTTTGAATAAAAATAGCGTCCAAGTTGCAAGACTATGTCGCTACCCCTTAGGTATGCAAGAATTTCCCAGTGGCACCTATTGTTTGACAGGTCGTTGGAATGCCTAATACACAGGCGAGTTCGGATAGTCAGGGGCTGGAGCGGGACAAATTTTAGGGTGCTTTTAAATGACATTTAAGCGTGTTAAACTGTCACTAATCGGACTAAACCAAGTAATCTATGGACTAAACCGAATGCTAAAAGGGTCGTTTGGAGTTAAAAGTGTTAAAGGAGTTAAAGGAACTTGGCAGACCGAACGCAATGTATGGAGGGTGTCAATCATCATATGTCATGTGTCATTTTATATTTCACATGTCATATGTCATTCTTGTCAGCGTTACACAGCGGAAAAATTGTGTTGAATCTGTCCATTGTATATTTTCAATTTTGATACAAGTTTTTGGATTTTAAAATGGGAGTTGTTGAAACAGATGTTGAAATGAAAAACGCCGACAGTCCTGGAGGATTGGAAGCTGGAGATAGCAAAAAAGACACTGACATGCAAAGTGTAATAGAAATTCGAGAACATGCAAGACAGATTGAAAAAGCCGTAAGCAGCAAGGAAAATCGATTTATTTTAAGAGTTTTGCGTTGTTTGCCCAACACTAGACGAAAGCTTAATGGAGTAGTTCTCAGAAGTCTTATAAACCAAATATATCCTGTAGCCGAGAGAGACGTCCTACTTGGTTTTACTGAAGAGGCTGCAACTGAACTTGACACTACGCAATCTAGAGCTAGATCAGCTTCAAAAACTCCTGTTCCAGAAGTTGATGCTTATATTAACTTGTTAATTTTGGTTCGTTTGATTGACACTAATAAACTACCAGAAGCAGAACGTTGTTCTCAAGCACTCATGAATAAAATTACTAGTCAAAATCGCCGTTCCATAGATCTTGTAGCAGCTAAGTGCTACTTTTATCACTCAAGGGTTTCTGAACTTACTGATAAACTTGATTCAATTAGAGGTTTTCTACATTCTCGTCTTCGTACTGCTACTCTTAGAAATGATTTTGAAGGACAAGCTGTACTTATAAATTGCTTATTGAGAAACTATTTGCATTATTCATTATATGATCAAGCTGACAAGTTAGTAAGTAAATGTGTCTTTCCTGAAACTGCTAGTAATAATGAATGGGCCAGATTTTTGTATTATTTGGGTCGAATTAAAGCTGCTAGATTAGAATACAGTGTAGCCCATAAGCACCTTGTTCAAGCCATGAGAAAAGCACCTCAGAATGCTGCAATAGGTTTTAGACAAACTGTTCAGAAACTAACTGTTGTAGTTGAATTACTATTGGGAGATATACCAGAGAGACAAATATTTAGGCAAGCCAGCATGAGGCATTCCCTTGCACCTTACTTTCAGTTGACTCAGGCGGTAAGAATGGGAAATTTGCAGAGATTTGGAGAAGTTTTGGAAAACTTTGGACCACAATTTAGACAAGACCATACTTTTACTTTAATTCTACGTCTCCGTCACAATGTCATAAAGACGGCTATAAGATCTATTGGTCTGTCTTATTCTAGAATTTCTCCTCAAGATATAGCTAAAAAACTTGGTCTTGATTCAGCTGAAGATGCAGAATTTATTGTGGCAAAAGCCATTCGTGATGGGGTAATTGAGGCTACTCTAGATCCTCAAGGTGGTTTCATGAGAAGTAAAGAGAGTACAGATATTTACTGTACAAAGGAACCACAACTTGCTTTTCATCAGAGAATATCATTTTGCTTAGATTTGCATAATCAAAGTGTGAAAGCTATGAGATATCCTCCAAAAGCCTATGGAAAGGAGTTAGAATCTGCTGAAGAAAGAAGGGAAAGGGAACAACAAGATTTAGAATTAGCAAAAGAAATGGCAGAAGAAGATGATGATGGCTTCCCTTAACTTTTTTGTATAAATCTAAAATATATTACTTTTATTATATAGAAAATGCCTGCTTATTTTTTTTGTATTTTTAGGACAATATAGTCTTCTTAATACTTTTGTCTATCAATTAGTTTTCTGATATTGTACTTCTATTTCAGTTAGGAAAAACTTCATGAATAAGTTCACCCAAATATTTATTATCTAAAAATAAAGTACTGTTATTTTTCTTTAATTACATTAGTTTGGATTAAATGTCTTTCTTTTCAACAACAAGATATATATCAGGTTTTTTCCAGAATTTAGTGTACCTATACCAATAATAAGGTTTTAATACATGGGATTAAACAAAAAATACCCCAACTAGAAAATCTTTCGTTTTATTAATCTCAATTTAAGTTAAACTTTCAGTCAAACTGATTGTATTATAAATATATCAATATTTATTAATCATATAATTGTAAATCACTATATACAGTAAAATCATGAAAATTTACATAATATATACCAGGTATATCCACGAAAACTTCAGATTAGCTTTATTTCTAGTATAATTTAAGTTTGAATCTTAAATTGCTGGGGTATAAGACAGTGCTTATGAAGACACAATTCCATATAATTTTTTTCCATAGGTAGCTTGCCTTTTCATACTGAATAAAATATCTCAAAAAGTAACCTAGGTATGTGACTTGTAACTTTTTAGTTATGGGTATAACAATCATTCATAATATACACAGGGTATATTGAAAGTTTTAACATAGCCAAGCTTGGGACGGGGTAGTGAGACGAAAAGTATGTGGGATTACGTCTCATATCCCAAACATTCAAGATTCCAACTTAAATTATACCATAAATACAAGCCAATGCAAGTTTTCGCGAGGATACTCAATATAGAAAAATAATGCTGACAAGATGAAATGGTTAACATTTACAATAAAAAATTACTTAAAAATAGGTGGTGAATAATAAATTACTGGGAAAATAATTTTCTTAATCAAGACTCAAAAATAAAGTTGAATACCTTTGGGGAAAATATATTTCCTCTATAAAACTATTTTTTTTTCAAACTTAAATGTAGTTGTTTTGTTACTGTGAAACATCACCCTGTAATTTCATTCATTTCTAGTTTTAATGCAATATGTATGATTGAAAATATGTTCACAAAATTATAAATCTTTATAAACCTAATACGTTTTTTCCACAAAAGTTAATGCTTATTTAAGACTAGTTTTACAAAACATTAATATCTTTAAAAAAGTTACGAATCTTTTGAAAAACTGTACGAAACTTCTTAGAATAGATGAATGCATTTACCTACTTATATCAAAGTGAACATGAAATAAAATAAGAAATACATCCCGGGAACAACCTAAATGATAAATAAACACTAGCTCAAAGTTTTGAGTGCTACCGTTACTTCTGGCTAAATATGTTTGACCTTAAATTATTGTAGTGTTCGTGATCTTCCAATATTAAATAAAACTGTCGATTAAAAATAATTTGCCGTTTCATGGACTGCTTCCCAAAGTTGGGGGCCTATTGGGTTCTTATAAATCCGTTGTTTCATTGTGCCCAATAGTAATTCTCTCATTTCTACATTTGTAAAATTATTATGTCACTGCATCTTCTGCTTGTCGTTAATAATTAACAACAATATTTTAAATAAAAACTATGACCCAATTAATTAAATAAGAATTATGAAGTCAATTTCAAAAATGAGATTAGGTATATCAAAAACTGTTTTTTGTTAAATGCCACTAACTTATATAATAAAAAAGTTTATATCACAAATGTGGCGTCTATAAATAGATATAAATAATTTTGTGTACCTAAAAACCATCAATTTTAAAATGTGTATTATAAATTTCCAAAAACGTTCGTTTAAAAAAATAATAAATTTTACCTTTAACACCCTGTATCAATATTTTATTAAGGCAAGTTGGCTCAAATTGCAATATTTTAAAGTCACAAATCTACTGTACTCCTAGGTACCGGGTGTTACATTAAGAGAGGTACCAAAAACTAATAATAGTACACCTTCACACGCTGAAACAGAAAGATGGAGTTTCAGTTCCCAAACATATATGTAGTGCTGTGCTAAAATAAAAACATGACCGAATAAACCTAGGAAATTTTTATTTATATAATAATAGTACAGCCTCGGACCCTAGTAGGGGAGCCCTCTTTAAATTTTAATATATTTTTATTATTTGTTGTTATAACGGCAAAATACACATTCTGTGAAAATTACAACTGCCTACCTAATACGGATCATGAGATACAGCCTGCTCAAAGACAGACGGACAGTGGAGGCATAGTAATGTGGTCCCGTTGATCACCCTTCGGGTACTTAACGGCAAAGAGAAATTGCTGGAAATTATTTTCAAGTTTGTAGAATGGCCATTAGGAGGCGTAATTGTGACGCCACAACATAAAAATGTAATTCTCTCAAAAAACTATCAAGTAAATTTATAAATATTAATATTTTAATCTTCTATGTTCTCTAAATAAAAAAAACTTCAGGTGTAAATTTTGTCAGTTGTGAAATAGAGGCCCATACAGCACACACTATTTCAGAAATATTTCAAACATATAACATTTTAAGCACAAGTTTCTGAAACATGGTATACATGTTACACAAAAGGTTACTAAACGGGTTATCTTGTAATTAATGAAGAATTTCTGATTTGTAAGAAGATGGGATATGTAGTTATTTTATTTCATTCCATGTCCCTGTCCAGCCACCAGCTAGAAACATGCCTATATTCTAAATAATTATAGATTTGAGTTGTCGGTTTTTGATATTCATGGTGTTGTGAACTTGTTATATGGGAAGCAGAATATGTCTTTAGAAATTGAGGTGAGAACTACATAAATAATGCTTGCTTAGGTGGATCTTCATGTTTTGTTTAGACATGAGTATTGTTTTATTATAGTTAATTTAAAACATAATTAATAAAACTATTGTTAATCAAATAATTTGTATAAATCCTTTTTAATTACCTATATTTTGTTTCAGATTAGTGCATTTAAAGGAATTGGTGGAAATTAAGCAATTTGCCAGCTTTGGGACTGTGCCGGTAAAAGTAACATCCAAGTTATTCAACGTTTCCAGAATAAAGTATTAAGTAACATCGTCAATGCATCCTGGTACTACCGTAATACTGATCTTCATAGGGACCTTAAAGTGGAGACTGTTGAAAATACAATACAAAAATTTGCCAGTAGTCACCAACAATGACTGCTCCAACATGGAAACCTTGAGATTATCCAGCTCCTCAACATCACCAATCTAATAAGAATCAATGTTTGAGTTTCGTGTATTTTAAATAAACATTTATATTTTTAAATGTCTTTTTTTAGTCTAATAATATATAAGAAAAAACTAGAATACATTTCTGAAATATTACTATTTAATATTTCTAAAAGAATTCAAATTTTCATTTCAGAAATATTACTGTGAAATATTAAATTTACAAGACATTTTTACGTTTCAGGCATATTTCAGAAATGTTTCTGGGATATTTCGTAATATTTATACATTGCAAATGTTTCAATGTAACATTGTTGAAATATTTCCGAAATGTGTTTGTGCTGTATGAGACCTTATATATGTTGTACTCCTGTTAAAACCACTTCGGTAAACACTAATATTAACCTTTGTGAGTGGTTTTCTGGAATCTAATGATTTGTTTGGTAAATTGTTCTTCAGAACATAGCCCAATAAAAGAATGAAGAAGAAGAATTATGTAAAAAAGTATAATATCGTATTTACATTTTACGAAAAATTTTGTAAAATGTCAGTTTTTAGCATAACGCCCTCTAGCGGCGTTCATAAAATGTAAGCAGCCACAGTTTATACAGCTAAAAATGAGTCTGAAAAAGATCTTCTATACGAAACCAAGTTTACTAAATTCGGTAAAGCCAAACCGGAGTTATGAGTATTTTTAAAAATTAAAGTTTAACCTTTTCTCACCCCTCCATTTCACAACTGACAAACATTATACCTCAAGCTTTTTTATTCAGAAAACATTGAAGATTAAAATAGTCATAGTCATCAATATATTTTACTTGGTGTTTTTTGAGAAAATTACATTTTTATGTTTTGTCGTCACAATTACGCCCCCATGCGGCTATCCTACGAACTTGCAAATAATTTCCAGCAATTTCTCTTGACCGTTTTTATTAAAAATATTTTTTCCCCAAAGCTGTACCTCTTTTAATTGAACACCCGGTACAATTAAGTGAATATATACTGCACAATGATTTATATTTTTCTCTGATCGCTGTAGTAGGAACAGACCTTAAGAAAATAAAATAATCATCCGTATTCACAAATCATTTTAAAATAGTTATCTACGTGTCAATCCTTAACAATAGAAACGTCAATGTAGAGTTGGACGATGACATTTTATACAGAGTGAATCCTAAGTCGATACTTTTTTTTTAACTGTGCATAGAATTAAAATTTATTTAAATTCATTACTTCAGATAAACACGCTACTGTCGTGAGAGGGCTGCTCCGACACTGGACTTCTAACTGTCGCTGCTGTTATGTCTGTACCGCTTTCGCTGCCCGTCCACCTCGAAGACTCAAGAAAGTAACTAGAATGATTTCCTTCGCAGTCCGACGCTTGGATGAAGAATTTCGAGGGACTTATAGATCAGCATGGAGCGTCTAGTCAGGGTTAGATCTTTCTAGACTGCTACAATTTTATATATAATTGTTTCCCCATTTAAGTTAAGTTTCAATATAAATGTTGTCGAATAGAGATAAATTGTTAAATAAATTAGAAGGGTGCTTAAGTCTAAATTAATTAATTAGTATTTGGTATAAATAAATTATAATAAATAATCTGTTTTAAATAAATACACTACTAAAATCAGATGCGACTAAATTAAAATAACGGCTACACAACAAGGCCTGATTCATAAGAAAAAAAAAAGAAAAACAGGCTTTTTATTTAGCTTAACTTTTTCATACACAAGTCCAGGTCCGGATTTAGATTTCGTAAATTCTGTATCACTTTTATTTTTGAGTTTTTTTGAAAACTTTAAAAGAGATGACTATTTTAACAAATACACAGTTAAAAAAGTATCAACTTAGGATTAGCACAATTCAAATAAATAATTTCTTAAATCATTAACAATTAAGTATTCGTAAATAAGAATGTCAGTTTATCAAGATTAAAATAAATAACAGTTCCTGAAGTATCGCCCAACTCCATTAGACATTCATTATAGTGACATTTCCATTTTCAAGGATTTACATGTGAGTAAATTTAAACATGTTTCATAAATTAGGCTAAATCTGTTATAGAGCACAACAATGTTATTTTTGGGCAAATATACTGAA